GAGGGTAAGGCACCAGGTTGGTCTGGAACTCGGTCAGATCTACATTCAGGGCTCCATCGAAGCGCAGGGAGGCTGTGATGGAGGAAACGATCTGACCAATGAGCCTGTTGAGGTTGGTGTAAGTGGGGCGCTCAATATCGAGGTTCCTACGACAGATGTCGTAGATGGCTTCATTGTCCACCATGAAAGCACAGTCGGAGTGCTCCAGGGTTGTGTGGGTGGTCAGGATGGAGTTGTAAGGCTCCACTACAGCTGTGGAAACCTGAGGTGCTGGGTACACAGCAAACTCCAGCTTGGACTTCTTTCCATAATCGACTGACAGACGTTCCATCAGCAGGGAGGTGAAGCCAGAGCCAGTGCCTCCACCAAAACTGTGGAAGATCAGGAAGCCCTGAAGCCCAGTGCACTGGTCAGCCTGAAAGAAAGTTAAGTAGAATTTTACATCTTTGGACTAATATAGGAATATGCAGCTGCTCCAGTTCTGGAGAAGGCTAAACCAAAATTTAGTGTTTTCCCTGCTCAAACACCTTATTAGTTACCAGGTATATTTCAGAAGTGTACTGACCAAACTGTTCTGAATTAGACACTCCTCACTTAAATAATCTGGAATTACTTCTCCAATGACTTCAGAGTCATACACTTCTTAGCGGTCTTCAGCACCTCTAAATGTACACATGTGTCTAGCACACCCAAACACTGGCTTGGAGCATAGCAGCTAAATTTGCTCATGTCGGTAATTAGTTCAACACAGCCACCCTGGAAGTCTCACCAGTTTGCGGGTCCTGTCCAGCACAAGGTCAATGATCTCTTTGCCAATAGTGTAGTGACCACGGGCATAATTGTTGGCAGCATCTTCCTTCCCTGTGATTAGCTGTTCTGGGTGGAAGAGCTGGCGGTAGGTTCCTGTGCGCACCTCATCTGGAGTGGAGAAGAAAAAAGAACCATGTTAAAAGTTCTGCCATTAGTTACAATTGCATCTGATGGCCTAACAAAGTTCAAAATAAGCATTTATGTAGATTTATCTGTAAAACCATGCTCTGTCCCATCAGTCAAAAAACTACTACTACAAAAAAAAAAATCACAATTATTTTTATTTTGTGTATGCTACCAGTATTATTTTTACAAAAAATTCAGACATAGTCAAGTAAGAGTAATATTTTTCCTTTGATTAAAAGAGAGAACTGTTACCAATGACAGTGGGCTCCAGGTCTACAAAGACAGCTCGGGGAACGTGCTTGCCAGCTCCAGTCTCACTGAAGAAAGTGTTGAAAGAGTCGTCTCCTCCACCTATGGTTTTGTCGCTGGGCATCTGCCCATCTGGCTGGATCCCATGCTCCAGGCAGTACAACTCCCAGCATGCATTGCCCATCTGGGCTCCAGCTTGGCCAACATGCATGGAAATACACTCACGCTGGTGAAAGAAAAAAAGTGAGGGAGTTTCCACATTACTTACTGACATTTCAGCAAAGGGATAACAAGCATATCTAAGAGGTTTCATAACACCAGTTTCTGATATGTACATTTTTAAAAGCACCACAAGCATCAGATTATAAATAAAAAGCTGGAAAATGATTAGTTGTTTGACTGTTTCACTGTTATCAGGCTCTTGAGCGCTGCCCTTGTTTAAAGAGAGGGAGGAGACGACAATCCCGCCACACGTCTGTTTCAGTCATTATCAGAGATGGTGGTGGCGTTGCGTGTTGTGTAGGCACTCATTAAGGCAGGATGTTCCTCTGTTCATGCTAAACTATGACAAGACAAACCCATCTGTTCCATGCATTGTAACTCATTATCAGGCTGCCCTAAATAACCCTGTTCCAAAGATGTCATCAATTTAAGGAATGATCAATAGACCACACATTACCAAATCTCATCAATAAAAGCTGTGAGAGCAGGGACAGTCCTTTCAGCTAATAGTGTAACCTGATCAGCACTGGGTTTGCATTTACACATAATCTGTACTTCACAGATCTCAACTATAACTGGATCATCTTTATTTGCATAAACAGCACCATAACTGCATGGAAGGTACTCTGCACTGTTAGAAATAAAGGTTCTGTGCAGGTACATTTTTCATTCATCAAGGTACAAACAATGTAAATGTACCCTTAAACGGTAAAATAGTGATTTCAAGGTCCTTAAATAAGTACACGTGTACCTTTTCATAACCTAATGTTTTAAAACAGAACAGTAAACTACAAAGCCTGGAGACGAGTCGGGGTGTGTGGAGTCAATACAACTTAGACAACATAATTTTAATGGATTATGGTACAATTATGTTCCCTGACTAAAGATACTGAGATAGGGTATCACCCAGTGACAAGAGGGGTACTGTTCCCTCAGGGGACTTAAATTATGTAAAATACTCTCGACAAGTAACGCCATTTCAGTGTCCTTACTTTTTTTTTATTCGGCAGCCCATCCCCGCCAGTTTGATAAGGAAATAAACGCCGTTTTATTCTTCCTTCTCTGTTGCTAGCAGAAGCATGTTAAACTTTCTACTGAGCATAGTCAGTCTCTTTCTAAATAATTTGGCACAATGTCATTATGTAGAAAATAAAATAACTCATTATAATATTGAGAGAGAGAGAGAGAGAGAGAGAGAGAGAGAGAGAGAGAGAGAGAGAGAGAGAAAGAGAGAGAGAGAGAGAAAGAGAGAAAGAGGCGCCGAAGTTCAGTCCCCACCCCCCGCCTTTACCGCCAAACTTCCTCTATGACTTGGAGAAAAAAGAGAAATGGAGGGAAAAACAGTGATAGAGACAGCGACCTAAACGCAACGATACAACGACACCCGCGAGTTCATCCATCCCTCTACATTATTGCTGGCATTCAGGCTAAAATCCACTTTCCGCGTTCTATCACTTGCTAATCCTTATCGATTTTCAATATTTATTTTGCAAAATGCGAATGTCAGAGTACTTGAATTCCTTGTCTCACGGAAATATTGCAGTTAAACTCATTGGGATCATCTCAGACCGCAGAAGTTCTTGATATGAACATCAGATCCTGATTAGCATTTGAGTTAATGAATCAAGTCTTTTGCTTAACCTAAAAGATCAAATATATTTGGACTCATGCATCGATCTCACATTAAACGCCATCAATGGGTTCAATATGGCTACCGCTAGGAAGACTGCAGTGCAGAGCAACAGCCCATAATCTCAAAAGGGCATTTTGTTCATATTGGGCAACCCTACTTCAAAACTACGTGCTGCGCGTGATGCAAAGCCTAATCTCTTTTCTCTCGGGAGGAACCCGCTCACTCCTTTGCTCTACTGCTGTAATTATATTCACTTTCCTGGCATTTTTCCCGATAAGCTTTGGAATTCCTAAACCCTGGTCGCTGTACGTTTCTACGGCCACTGACTGAAGCGAGCCCTCTACACGGCTTTTGACTAAAGTAAAATACGCTAAGATAACGATCACGCGCGAAAAAAGTGTGCTAGTGTTATAACCTCCATCATGCAGTACCATCGCGGGGTTTGAAAAGTCAAATATGCTACAGTCAGAAAATATAACATGTACATGAATCATTCTACACGTTTGATTCTGACTGCAAACAGCTTTAACAAAAGTAAGACTCACCATTGTTCCGGATTTTCCCTCTGGGCCGACGTCGAGGATTCGGTAAATGAGGGCAGTATGGGTGGGGAGACGTCTATCTGTGTTTATATAGCATGGCGCCAGTCTTGGGCGCTGGCGTGGGGAGGGGCATAAAGTAGCTAATCATCAGTTTTCTATTGGCGGGAAGGACAGTTAGAAATCAGTAGGCGGGGCTTTAGTTTGAATAGGAAATACTTGCCAGACAGAGAGAGAGCTGTACACTCAAAAGTTGTCTTATCTCATACTAACACACGTATATCAACCTCACAAACACTGCTAAAAAGGTCAAACATCGCACACATTTGGGGGGAAAAAGTAAGCCTAGGGTTTACACATATCTGTCATATCTCTGCGCTGAGCTTGAACAGGGGACACGAGTGGACCACCCACAGTCATTTCCTCATCTTTGTCGCTACACAGGACTACACAATACATTTACTGAGAAATATACAATACCAGCTGAATAACTATAGAAAGTGTTATGCTACTAACTTCATCATTGTGATTTAGGTCATTTATATCAGAATAAATATGTATTTCATGCATTGGGCAAAGAAAGAATCTGGTAAAGTGTTTGTATGTACTGTGGTGTCCATAAATAATTAGACAGCAATACATTTTTATAAAATCTTTTAGATCTGTATTCCTTCTGGCCAAGAAACCATGTACTTAATTTATTCATTCATTTACTTACTGTCCTGTGAAAGATGAACACAATGTACATAAGGGGGCTGTGGTTACTATACACTTCACCCAGTATAAAAGCAAATACCCTTGAATTGAGAATTTTCTGCTCTTTAACTGTAGTTATTGTCTTTTCAAATCCAATGTGCTTGAGTGCAGTTATGTCACTGTTCGGTTATTTATGAACTGCACTTCATATGCTTAGAATAAGAATGTCCAGAATGTACCAAGCACAGTGTTTTTGTTTTTTTGTTTTTTTTTGTGAGAAGATATGTCAGCAAAGTGTCAGTCACAAAAGAGGAAAGAAATGAAGAGCAAAGTTCCTTCACTAAACTCCCCTGAGGCAAGAGGTTTGAAAGTTGAGCTGCAGGAGATGAGGGGACCGAGAGGTTTTTTTCTGTTTATATGTGTTACAGTAAGGTAAAATTCTAATATGCTACAGACTGACTTTTTAGAATGCAAATATCAGAGATATGTACATTGATAACTATTCATTCTCAACTGTCCATAGAGGTAAATATTCCCAGAGACTTAAATCATATCAAACCTATGCAAATTGGGGCCTGACAAAATGCAAAGCTATTCGTCTCCTTGGATCCCCTGCCTGTACTTGTCTGTTTTGCATTCATTGTATGAGAATAGTGGTCTTTCAAATGCATTATTCAAGAAAATGTATTGTTCACTGTAATTGTCTTAGCACTCAAGCTCTTCTTTCTTTTAAGTTCTTTATTTCAAAGCACATTTGTGAAACAAAAGAAAGGCACCAGTTATCACAGCTCATCACCGATTCCAGGAGTGTTTGTTACATTCCTCACTGCTGAACTATATACCTAAAAGACGGATACAGAGTAAATGTGCTACATTGATCTTATACAAAAAACAAGGGAATTTAATAAAATAACTTCAAAATCAAATCTGGTGTGTTTTTGCAATGTTTTACATCACAACAGACACATGTTGTGAGGATAACTAGGTATGTCATGTGCAGCTGTTGCAGTTTCAGTATCAGTCTTTCTTTTAACATATATTTGAAAATGCCATGGGTTGTTTGTTTTGTTTAAAATACCTTAGAATCAAAAAGATACTGTTAAAAATATAAATTTACTTGAAATGAAAATACTACAATTGTGTAACTGGAATGGTTTTAACACATGAAATACTTTGTTGCCTTTGTTTATAGGAGAAAAACTAAGACTTCACAGATGTTAATATTCTTCTCCCTCCTCCTCCCCTTCATCTCCAATGCTGTCTGTGCCCACTTCTTCGTAATCCTTCTCCAGGGCAGCCATGTCTTCTCTGGCTTCTGAGAACTCACCCTCCTCCATGCCCTCTCCAACATACCAATGGACAAAGGCTCTCTTGGCATACATCAGGTCAAACTTGTGGTCTAGACGGGCCCACGCTTCAGCAATGGCTGTGGTGTTGCTCAGCATGCAAACTGCCCTTTGCACCTTGGCCAGGTCTCCTCCAGGAACAACAGTGGGGGGCTGATAGTTGATTCCCACCTTGAAGCCAGTGGGACACCAGTCCACAAACTGGATGGTACGTTTGGTCTTGATGGTAGCAATGGCAGAATTTACATCTTTAGGCACAACGTCACCACGGTAGAGGAGACAGCAGGCCATGTACTTTCCATGGCGGGGATCACACTTTACCATCTGATTGGCTGGTTCAAAGCAGGCATTGGTGATCTCGGCAACAGAGAGTTGCTCATGGTATGCCTTTTCTGCAGATATCACAGGGGCATAGGTAGCCAGAGGGAAGTGAATGCGAGGGTAAGGCACCAGGTTGGTCTGGAACTCGGTCAGATCTACATTCAGGGCTCCATCGAAGCGTAGAGAGGCTGTGATGGAGGAAACGATCTGACCAATGAGCCTGTTGAGGTTGGTGTAAGTGGGACGCTCAATATCGAGGTTCCTACGACAGATGTCGTAGATGGCTTCATTGTCCACCATGAAAGCACAGTCGGAGTGCTCCAGGGTTGTGTGGGTGGTCAGGATGGAGTTGTAAGGCTCCACTACAGCTGTGGAAACCTGAGGAGCAGGATAAATGGCAAACTCCAATTTTGATTTCTTGCCGTAATCAACTGACAGACGCTCCATCAGCAGGGAGGTGAAGCCAGAGCCAGTGCCTCCACCAAAACTGTGGAAGATCAGGAAGCCCTGAAGCCCAGTGCACTGGTCAGCCTAGAATATTAAGAAAGAAGGTGATCTGTTTGTTTTCCAGGCAAAACAAAATCACAAAAGCAGAACTTCATTCTGTGTCTAAGGTAATGATGTGTTATTACTCACTAGTTTGCGGGTCCTGTCCAGCACGAGGTCAATGATCTCTTTGCCAATAGTGTAGTGACCACGGGCATAATTGTTGGCAGCATCTTCCTTCCCTGTGATTAGCTGTTCTGGGTGGAAGAGCTGGCGGTAGGTTCCTGTGCGGACTTCATCTGGAGAAAGATATCAGTAATTGTTTTATTTTTTTATGTTGATGAATAATGCTATCGTACTCTTAGTGACTATGTATATATATATATATATATATTTCCAATTATACCAATGACAGTGGGCTCCAGGTCTACAAAGACAGCTCGGGGAACGTGCTTGCCAGCTCCAGTCTCACTGAAGAAAGTGTTGAAAGAGTCGTCTCCTCCACCTATGGTTTTGTCACTGGGCATCTGACCATCTGGCTGGATCCCATGCTCCAGGCAGTACAACTCCCAGCATGCATTGCCCATCTGCACACCTGCCTGGCCAACATGGACTGAGATGCACTCACGCTGCAGAGAGAGGATTTAAAAATCAGAGCCAACTTAATCATATGGATCATTCTCCCGAATTAGTTGAAATGGAAGTCATTTAAACCCAAAGCATTAATAGAGATAGTAATTGGCTAAATATATAGGGCATGTTTTATTGGTAGGTAGCTGTTCCAAACCTTAACCATTACATTTCTGTGTAAAAATAATATATTTTTTTCTTTTTTAAAAATCTTTTTAAATTTCTTTTAAAGTGAAGAGGAATTATTTAGATTTATCATAAGTTCCATTTTTCATATCAGTACCGAAACAGAGTTTTAGTGCATTGTCGGAGCCTTATTTTAGCCACACCCCTACATTTTAGATCAAGAAATGAGACTGCATCCTTGTCCCTCATGACCACATGGTAAGCAGTTAGATCTCATTGTTTTAAAGTAAATGTGTCCCAAAGTCTGAAAATCACTGTTGATTTTCATTTAATAAATTAAACATAATTAAGGTATAGAATCACTCAAAGAAAAAAGATTTTAGTCTAAAGTCTGAGATAATAAAGGCCAAAATGGGTTCTAAACTTTGACTTTGAACCAGTTCAGTCGAATGATCCATATATTTGTTTTGCACATGTACACATGTAATCACTACAGACACACAAACCCATAGATATTTGTAGGTATATAATTTCATTTCATGGCTTTGGTTTAGAACACAAACTGTATACATGTGAGATTGTGATATGTACACGACATCTCCAAATGTTTGTAGACTCTTGCTTATTTAATGTTTTTTCCCCCAGTTATCAAAAGTATTCATAGAGTGTTTATTCCCCCTTCACTGCTACTTTGCCTTGAAAAGGTATTTTATGGTGCTCCATTACTCCAGAGAATGCATTGCCACTGCTCCACAGCTCAATGCTTGGAGGCTTTATACCCTTTTAGCTGACACTAGGCACTGGACGCGTGTGGCTATTCAAGAACATCCCATTCTTTTAGAAGTGCTTTTGTATGGAGATTATACAAGCTCTCTGTCTGCGGATGAACAGCTATGGTTGCAATGAGTGCACCATAAAGTGGCTGAATTTACTAATTAGAAGGAGATACTTTTGAATATATAGTGTAAATCCCTTTGAGAAACAAAGGTTATTTTTCCTGGTTTATCAACTTGTTTATCTATATTTGCCATCTGTTAGATACATATATATAACACATTGTCAACTTCCTTGTTAAGAGAGGACCCAACTTGCTGTTTTATAAACACAACCTTATGCTAACTTAACTTATAACTTCCTCAAAAACCTAAATGCAGTCAAATGATTGAGCAAATGAAATATCTTACCATTTTGGTTCTTTTTTCTGGCTGCCGTCAGGAGTGTGAAGGACAAATCTTATGTTTATGTCTCTGTGACGATGATATTGGTATATATAGGCCCAGATGATGCCGTGGAAACAAGCTTTGTTGTTGGCAACAACGGGGTTAAACCCGTTTTTGAGAACTGTTCGGTTGCCTGCCTGATTTAGAGGTGAGCCAGTCATACAGGTCTGTAGTGTACTGAATAAATAGTCACACATCAGTGCCACTCCTCTTCAGTACAACGCGCACACAGACACACATTAATATTTAACTCTGATCTGCAGAGATAAATGAACAACTAGTATCCCAGACCAGACTCTCATTCAGGCCACTGTAGGGTAAACTAGAATAAGACATAAAACAATAAAACAAGAAGCAAAATAATGCTCCTAGGTTTAGGATTTAATCTTGTTTTAAACTGCTTCATCCAAGTTGTAATTCAGCATGTTGATCCACTGCTATTATGATCAAATTACACCGCTCATCTCTTGCCTGGGGCAAACTTTTGCCTTGCCACCCCGCCCCCCCCCTCCTTCCCCAGACCACCATTCCTCAATTTTTTCCATTCTCTGACACCCACTCCCACCATGCATGCAGAATCTCTGTTGTGTTGTCATGCCAAGTTAGACGTATCCTAAGGTTACACATTGACATTGGAAACCAGCAATTGTCATGGTGACCCCTCCCTTCCTTGCTCAGAACTTGCTCTCCCTCTCTCAGTATATGAGCAGATCTCAGTGATCTATGCTCTCAGAAAGAGAGCTTGTAATAATATATAATAATATATCATAATAATAATAAATAATATATCATAATATATCATAATAATAAATAATAATATATCTGTCCCTTCAAAGTCTCTAATGATGTTACTGTCAGCAGTTTGGGGCACTTTTGACAAATTCAAAAAGAGCTTGTGATCATCTAGGCACCCAGACTAGGTTGGTACTTGCAAGAAAAGGGAATTCAGAAAAGAGAATAACTCTGCATGACAGATATTTATCCAGGGGCAATTAAGGCCTTATTTTGGAGGTGTTTGACCATAGAAAGTGTGGGGTTCATGTTTCTGTAATTGGAGATTACGTTTCTGTTTCTCAAATAACTCTGCTCTCTGGTCGGCAGGTTGGAGTCATCACCTCCAAAAACGTTACAAAACCAGACTTCACCTAGACTTCATTATACATTATACATTGTTTTTACTTTTAAAAGAGCTGAATTTAACTGAATTCAATTAAATACAACATCCAATGAGAGATCAAGGACCTGGCCAATTTCAGGCAGTGGCAAGAAAAAATACTTTATAATGCATGAGGAAGAAGCTATGATTAAAAAAAAAAACCTATGCTCCTTTTGACAGCACAGGAATGAGGTGGAGTGGAGTTTGTGATCCAGAACTGATTATCCAACATCAGTACCTGACCTTACTAATGCTCTTGTGGCTGAATGCAATTAAATCCTCACAACAATGTTCCAACATCCAGTACAAAGACTTCCCAGAAGAGTAGAGGCAGTTACTACAGCAAAAGGGGGACAAACTCTTTATTAATAGAATTGATTTTGGAAGAAACATTGAATGAGCAGTGTCAACGAACTTCTGGACAGACAGTGTAAATCAGTAATCGTTGATAAAGGTTGAGGGTGACTATTGCTTGAATGCTACAGATGATATACTACTATATACTACTATACTTAAGATGTGTATTATTCTATACTATAAATGTGTACATGGCAGGAATTTTGGGAGGCTGGTAATGTTTGTTGCAAAAGGTTGAACAGCACACACAAAACCCAGACCTGTATCAGACAGAGGCCATAAATAAATAAAAACTCAAAAACAGTGAGAAGCCAGGAGCAGAAAGTAGGCGGACCACAGAAGAGGTACTACAGCAAGAGCTCACAACAGTGGGTGGTCTGAGCCAGGAGGTAGTACAAGCGCATTTAATGCTCAAATGCTCAAAAGATGTAATGGATAGTGTATGGAGAAGTTGTAAATGATAGCATAGAAAACCTTTTTGCTGTAAACCTAAAAAAGAAGACAAAAAATGTCAGATTCTTCCAGTTTAATTTATAACTTGTAAAATGCATGTAAAAAGAAAGCAACATATAACAAACAAAACAAAGTAAATAAACCATAACAAAAAAGTTAATAAATGGGTTGGATAAGAGAAATTAATTAATACTTAGGTAGAAGTGCTTTTTGCTCACAGCTCAAAGTACAAAGTCTGTTTGAACTTATTTCAAGCACACTAAGAAGAGGAATGTTTGTGCTTTCCTTAGAGAATTTCTGTTGATGTACTGCCCTCTTCAGGCCATTTCAAAGATTTTCAAAGGCCCCTGACAAGTCCAGTCAAGGACATTTACTTTTCTATCCTTCAGTCACTGTTTTGGCAGTGTGGCATGTTTTTTGCATCATTCATTTTCCATTCTATGCTGAAAAGTTTCTCCATCTCATCTAAAGTTAAACACACCCACATCCACACATAGGCCGAAAGGGTTGCTTTGGGTTTCTTCTTGCAACAGCACCCTATGCTACATAGCTAAACATAAACAAGACTTTGTCTTTGGCTGCTCTTTGTCATGTAACCCATGATCATTGGCCAGATTTGTAGAGCAATTGCATTACTGTTGCACTTAAAAATCCAAACTTCATCACAAAGGCCTGCAGCTCTAAGTTGCTATCAGCCCTCCTAGTCAATAAACCAAGTTGGAGGGATCCAAGCATCTGGGTGGTGCCACACATTCAAATGCCAATACAAACACAAACATTGATTAGAAAATTCCATTTGGCATGTATTAAATTGAATACAGTCCAAAATCACAATGTTTTCACCTTATGAACTTTATTATTATGGTCATTCCAAATATGATGCCTGCAACATGTGCCAAAAAAGTTAAGACAGGATAATGTTTACCATGGTGTTGCATCACTTTCTCAGCACTTAATAAACGTGTGTTGACTGAAGACACCAATTTATTCAGTTTTGAACGCAGAATTTTTGGCCATGCTTCATTTGTCCAAGTCTTAACTGCGCAACCGTACGGGGCCTTCATTGCTGTATTTTGCACTTCATAATGCACCAAATATTTTCAATAGGAGACAGGAGGGCAATCTAGCACCCTCACTCTCTGATTACGCAGCCATGCTGTTGCCATTGTCATGTTGGAATAAGCATGGACATCCCTGAAAAAGATAGTGTCAAAAGACAGCATATGTTGCTCCAAAATGTGTATATATCACTCAGCATTTCACAGATGTACAAGTTACCCATGCCATGGGCACTAATTCACCCCCATACCATGTCAGGTTTCTGAACTTTATGCTGGTAACAATCTGGTTGGACATTTGCTTCTTTGGCCTGGAAAACATGACGTCCATTATTTCCTTAGACAATCTGAAAGGTTTACTTGGCAGACAATACATGTTTCCACTGTGCACTAGTACATTTCAGATGAACTCAAGCCTAGAGAACTCGGCAGCATTTCTAGATGTTTTAGTTCAAAAATGGACTCTATATGCACAAGGCTTCACTTTATTGACAGTGGTTGTTCAAAGTATTCCCGAACCTATGCTGTACTATCAATCACAGAAGCAAGGCAGTTCTTAATGCAGCATGCTTGTTTAAAGGACTAGGCCTTCCTGGGTGCTCCTTTTGTACTCAAGCATAATTACATCATCTAGTCTAAAACTGCCTCTTTTCTTTTTTTTGACCCAACATGCATTTTTTTCCCCAAGTTTTGGGGGGGATTTATATGCCGCAAAAAGTCAGGAACAAAAATCCACTTTAACCAAAATGTTAGTACTGAAAAAGTCATGAAAGTGTAAACAGCTGAGTGGGAAAAGCATATAAAAGTGATGCTGCTGGTAATTTCGCTGTAAAGATACGACTCATAAAATGACCTCTATAGGCATCCATGGAACAATGAACTGCATTCAAAAATTGACTATTTTAACAGACACAGTAAAAAATTTTAGCATAAGCTGCTTCAGTTCATAACCTTGACAGATAGGAAGCTGAATTTCACATGCTCAACTGTGAAAAGCAATAACATATGAAATCTATCACTACCAGAGCATAAAGCAGGAAAATAGATCAGCGCACATTTAAAGATTACGACCTGTTTGTTATCAGGCTTTGTCGTAGCTGGAGCATATTGTACATATGACTTTCCAAAAGCCATTTTGAACCTATGAGGTTATGTTTTGCATTGTTTAGATTTTAAACATCCAACATTTAAAAAAAAAACATTTCATTTTATCTGTTACAACATTTAGTCTTTACTTTTATATACTTTAATATATATAGGTGAATGCAAAACATTTAACACCTTTGGTCAAATTACATGTTTTGTTAGTTTTCTGAATTATATTAACACATCCTTGCATTTGTGTTTTACTTAAGTATGTTTTTGGCTGCACAAATTCAATTTTATAGTTCATTTTCTTTGTTTAACCGATCTGTCCTTACACTGACAACACAATGAGCCTTACATTGGTAATTTAATCTTGCTTAAAAAAGCAATGAAGCAATTTGTATTTTAAGTCTCAGATTGGGTAGTACAATCATTCCTGATTAAAGCTTGAGTAAATCACCTAATCTGACCTAGGGGAGCTCCTTTTATGAAAAAGATTTAATGAAATCTACACATAATCTAATTACAAGAACTGACCCAGAAGTATCAAATCACATATTACATTATTTACTATTTCTTATCAGCAACATCTGTATTTTTTAAAGAAACTACAAAACAAAATAACTCATAATGCGTAAAATGCATCCCTGGAGATGTGAATAAACACAGGAGAGACACGCAAGGTCACAGCTGGATACAATGTGTTGAATCAACATTTAATATTGAAATACTTCTCACGGTTTGTGAGACAGAGACAGAGTGCATTTACAGAGTCACAGCATGTTTGGACAGGTCAACCCAAGCTGCCTCACAATTTTCATCAAATCAAAATTGTGCTCATGTATGCAAAGGTTTGAAATCTCAAGTTATATGTTTTGTTGATTTTCTATGTGAAAATAACACATCCTCTAATATTTTTAACATTTATTTACTTGTATTTGATGAGGTTAACATACTCAAAAAGAAACCACATAAAATACAAAATGTGCCAGACCTAAATGTGCCATGACATTTGCACAGGCCACATTTTATGTTTTACTTTTCCCCCCAATATATTAAATTAAGCTAATAAACAGTAATTGCAGGGGAAGTATACTTATTTTCACTTAGAAAATCAACAAAACATGATGAAACGTGTCTTCACTTTTGCATATAACTGTAGCTAATGAAGTGATGCTTGTATAAAGATTCAACTTAACTTAAAATTTCATAACCAACAAGGACTTCTGACCTGCAGCTAATGTATCTTCCTAGAGAACAGTTCCATCATGCAGGACGTTTCAAATGAGCCATTATAACTGGTGTGATAAAGCTTAAAGTGTAAGGCTAAAAACAACAGTTTTTCCTTTTCTTATGTTAACAGGCATTCCATAGTCATTTTTAGCACGGTGGCATACTGTGTAGAAGCATAATTATCACTATTTATCGATTGTGGAGAAGAACACATTGGTTCTTTCAACTTCCCTTTCAAAATTACACATTCAGAGTCAAAAGCATTCAAATTAAACATCATTAGTGCTGCAAATTTGTAAATTAAATTTAAAGCTATTTATCTGGCAGCAAGCATGGATTTGCTCGTAAAACATTACAGTCAATACAAATAAACATTTAATACCATAAACAGTTATTTTGTGTGTTACTTGTCTCAATGTCTTGGCTTAACCATTTTCAGACCGCTCCTCAAAGCAGCCCAGTATTTACCATCCAATATTTGGTTCAGCTAAATTGAGCACATCCAACGGCTCTGGTGCATCCAGGAACCAGATCAATGTTCTTCTAATCATCTCAAAAGGGATCAATAATATTTTTGAAAGAAGAAGATGTTCTTGATATTACCGTATTAATGTTTATTTGTATTGATTCTAATGTGACATTGCATTTTTACCAATTAAGATACATCTACTGCCCACAGCTTTAAACAGTTTTCTCATTTAGTTCAATTTATTTAAAGAAACAGTCCTTCATTTGGGTCTGGCTCTTTCCTGATCTAGGCCAGATTAAACCAGTATCAAAACAGATATAAAAATATAATGCTTTGAGACTTAGCAGGTGCGATAATCGCAGCTCTGTAAACATATTTAAGAGAAGAAGACAGTGGGACAGAGAAAGAGAAATGCCTTTACTGTTGTTGATTGTAGAAGATGAGATAGAAAACAGCAATAAAGGATGTTATAGGTCACAGTACAGGTGAACATTAGGATCAGCCCTAGCAAAGGTTTCCTGATTTCACAACATGTCAGCAGCCAATTTACTAATAGCTTCAGACTTTTTGTGCTTGATGGATAAAATTATTAAACAATACTGAAGGAGCATTACCACACAAAGAGACAAGGAGCCAAACAGTGACCCTAAGTGCCATCACTGGCATATATCTCCTGAGGTGAAGAGATCAGAAATGAAAGATTAGCAGATTATATGGATTAGATTCATTTGAGAGATGGCATCTTTGTCCAGTCTATTCCAGAATTTCCAAGAGAGGTTTGAGGCATTATATGCACAATTCAACAAAGAAATATAAAATTATCATGCAATGACAAAATATTTAAAAGAACTGCAGTAGGTGTTTTAAACAACCAGTTGTTCATACAGTGTAACCAAACATACTGGTTTTGTCCAAGATAGGCTGTTTCTTTGTTCTTTGATCTTCATGTCAAATTCTTTTAATAATCGAGGACCACAAAAAGAACTAAAAAACACAAACATACTAAAAACCTAAAAGATGCAAGTATGTATGTATATAAAGTATGTAATTGTATGTCTCAATCTCTGAGGTTGTTTTCCACATGCAGGAATACTCCAGCTCCACTGCTGGAGGATTAAGTTTGTGAACATTCATTTGTCCTTTCTCACAGGACAAAGTCTAGAAAGTGAAAGGTGGGAGAGATGAAGGATCTTTGTTATAAGCAAGCTGCACAAATAAGAACTAGTCAAAAAAAGGTTTCCAAGTTCCGACCAAGTCATAAATTAACTGACTACAGAATAATTTCGGCAGTGATACGTGTCATATTTCCTCAGTAATAAGAATCTTACTGGCACTGTGTGTATTCATCTCACTAAAATCCACAACTTTAAAACCAAGCACACGCAAGATAATTAATACGTATAAAAAAGGTTTAAAAGTACCCACCACACTTCACTTTTATTGTTCCAGCAACAATAGTGTTGCACTGAGCTGTCCCGATGTCATACTGAGATAACTGAAGAATGGGGTACACTCAACCCCCACGCGATATACTACAGTGCAGGGAAAACTGCATTTGTAATGAAATCTAGATTTTTTTTTAGACAAGCCCTGTTCTTCAAAGATCACAAGAGAACATATCAGAGAAGAATAAAATGGGAGAAAATGCGTCAAAGAAAAAGAGTGGTTAAAAATCTCAGTGGAGTTAAGAAGTAATATGGACATCCTGCTCACAATCTCTGGGTGAAGTTTTCAGGGAATACTCCTTTAGCAGTAAGGTCCTTATTCACGAGCCAGTGTGACTCCTTCACACCAAGCAACCAGCCTTCGTCCTGCACATACACACACATGCATATACACATGAGAGCTCTGCATAAGAGAAATCACTTTTCTGTGGCAATGTAGTTTCATGAAGTCAGAGACCACCATTCACTGATTTAACTTCCAGTCAAAACGACCATTAAGTAAAATTTATTCATTTTCCACTGTCAGGAAAAAAACAGAAAGCATATATTTAACAGAAAATTACACAGACTTACTAAATATATCCATGTTTTTAGCATGTGTCCATTTCATCCCTTTCAGAGATTTGCTTTCAGTTCTTTAAACAAATCTGGAGAGATAATTTTCATAATTCCTCTAAAGTTCAGTCCTAGAAGTTGGTTGCGTTTCCAGCTTCTCATGATCCAAGTAATCCCAAACACATTTAGCCTTGGAATTACATGACTTTGACTTTCCCTTTACTTATGCAGTGGATTATTTGTCCTTAAAGGCCATTTCGATGAAATAAATGAATGGTGATCTCTGACTTCGGCATAGTACTATACACAATTGCTCAACACTAGCATTTAATTTTACAGTCATTATTGTCAGCTTATGGCTGGGACAGTTACTGACCTGTTCATCAGGGTTGTCAAATGGGAGTACAAGCACAATGTCACCTGCTTTGAGGTCTAGTTCATCACTGTCCGTGGCTGCATAATCATGCATTGCTTTCACCTGCCACACAAAGACACAAACATAGATATTAACACAAAACAATCTGCTACCACTGCCCGCAAGTACCCTACTGCAAATAAGCATTATCACACTATTCAGTCTGACCTTATAGGCAACACCTGAAGGAACCTCAGCATCTGACGAACCATTGGTCACAGTTGTAGCATCATTCTGAGCAAGGAAAACAAGCTCTTTTTGATAAGAAGTTAACATGGAGCATGCAAAAACTACTGCTAATTAGACAGAATCTGTACATACAAACTGACACTGAAGAACTAATATTCCTGATCCTGACATAGGTATTTGTTTTAATGAAATTGAATGCTGGAAAAATATGCACAATAGGAACACAGACACAGGCATTTTACATATATATATATATATATATATATATATATATATATATATATATATATATATATATACACATGTGTGTGTGTGTGTGTGTGTGTGTGTATAAAATAAGCTTAACATTATATTAATTTAATCATTTAACACCTGCAAATTATTAAAACACTAAATTTCTTAAGCAGAACAATTTTGCAATATCAGGTCAATGAATTGGCACATTCAGGGTTAGACTATATAATTTGGTTAAGATTAATGCAAAAAATTCACAAGTATATTTGCATTTTGAAATGTCCTTTTAGAAGAAAATATACATCAGATAGTAGATCTCGAGGAGAAACCATTGTTTTATGTGTACATTTTAAAATTTTTAATTGTACTTACTGGTGGGGTAGTAGCAGATGTATCAGTCTGAAAGAGATCACAGATATTATGACAATTCAGTACATACAAACGCACAGCTACATTTAGCACAACAAGACAGACTAACACTTAAATTTGCTGACATCTCACACACATTCAAAGCCTTGGAATCTGCTTCTGAAGCACAAAAACACTCCCACAATCCACTTCAGTTAGGCCTACTTCATCCAAAGTCCTTCATCTCTAACAATTTGCTCTTCCCACAGAAGAAGCTTAGATGCTGCCCACCCAATATGGGCCTGCAGAAGCCTGTGCAGCTTCAGCCTGCTCCTGTCCTACCTGTGCCCCTTCCTCGCCCCAGCCCGCCTCCTCTTCATCCTCCCAGCCTGGCTGGCTAGCCTCTGCTTCTGCTGCAGCACTGTGGTCTTCCCAAGCCTGCACAGCCGGAGTGGCCTCATCATCCCAGCTTGGGGTTTCACAGGTCTTCTTAGAAGAACAGCCCTTATTGTCCCAGCCAGGCTGCGCTCCTTCATCCAAGTACTGCTGCTTGTTTGCAGCTGAGGTCTGCTCAGGCTGGGGCAGGTGGTGGGTTAAGGGAAGAATCAGGAGGTTTTGCAGGTTTAATAGGAGATGGGTCATATAAGGTGGTCCAGGAACAAAACAGAGGCAAGAGCACATCCAGAAGGATGGGAGGGAGATCAAGGCAAGGGTGTGCGGGAGAGAATAATGATGTTTATGGAAATTACACTTCCAACGAGTGATCCATGTCTCATTTGTTTATATTCAGACTATTTGCAGAGTTGAATTTCATTCATCATGCAGTAATATTAATTAATTTTCACATTTTTCCAGGTCACTTTGATAAGGTTAGATCCATTGGCTTTATCCATTTCAAATAATCCAGTATCGAACCCCTACAATCAGCTGATTCCACTGAATTATTCACCCTTTGTTATCCTTTTATACGTAATGTTCAAAAATATTGTACAAAATGCAAGGTAGATGTGCAGTGTAATGTGCTAAGTTTGTAAAAAATGTTGACCATCAACATTGATGTCATCCGAACTCAATTCAGTTTTGAGGAACATCTGCAATTTTGAGAGATTTGCTTGTGATGGTAACAATAATTTAGATATAAGCACAATATTCAGTCAGTGTGACATACAGTCAATGGGTTTGGCAGACATTAGTTCATGCACTCAGTCAGCCTGGAAAATGGTCACAAACCGTCACGAGGGAGGCCCAATGGAATGTTGAGAATATTTTTTTACCAAAACACTGTGTCCTCCATAACCACAATGTTCTTACCTCCCATGAGTCCCATGAGGCTGCCTTCAGTGAGGCAGTGAGGAACAAGAAAGCAAGAAATAATAAAAATCTAGCAAACATAGACTTGTCACCAAGACAGCAAGAGGAGACAAGGACAACACTAAAGGAGCTAACATGTTCATAGAGACAGTTGTCTGATATGGCCTCTTAAATGAACCTGACAAACACTGCGGCACATCCATGAGAGGAAGTCATCTGTTCCAACCAACATGAAATGCTGAATTATGAGATAAATTGGGATTTTTGGCTTCCTTTACACAGTGTCCCTCCAGAAAATCCATATACTACTCTGTCGGTCACTTATTACATTCACTGATAGATGATCAGGCCACTGATGTTTGTAGTCAGTTGGAACAGGTGATCATGATTATGTCAGCATGTTTGTCTGATTTTCAGATCACTGAATAATGTGTGTGGCTGCTGGTTCTCCTCTTGTTTCGTAAAATTCAGAATGGTTTGACCAGTCAGCCTGTCTAAGCAAATGATTAGTTGTTAACATTTTCCTTGCATGCAGTGACTGGGCCACATGCATGCAGAAACAGCGCAGATCAACCAAGGGGAACAGTTCAGCTCTATATCTACTGACCTACTGTTTTCAGGTTATCTGATGCAGTGGATAAAGACCCTACACCATAAACTGTACAGGAACAGTGTTGCCACCAGAAATTTTTCTTATTTTATAGTTCTTAATTATCAGATGTGCGTTAGGGCTATCACAATTGGCCAAAAATTATGTTCTATTATTCCTTCTAAAAAATAATGTCAGATTATTCCTGCTAATATTTAAACCATTCGAAGATCTATTTTTGTGCATGTCCATGTCCATAAGAGGACAGATCAATACAACAAGTGCGTTGCATCAGATTCAGTTCCCCCTCAAATTCCCGTTCCCCTTCATTAATCAATGAATTATCAGGGGGAACGTGAAACTGAGGAGGAACTGACTCGGATGCATTTGAAGGCATATTTTCGAGATGTGGCCTTAGGCTGCTAGAGCTGGAACAGTATGCTAACTGTACCTTACATAACTTACATACAACTTTATCTAGAACTGACTCTATAAGTACTGCTCTGAAGTATATCCAAACGGGGCTGTTCATATTGCTTGGAGTGCAAATCACTCTCTGTGTTGCCGAGTTGAATTGTGAACTCTCATCAGTACCATACAGCTGTTGCTGAATTATTCGCTTGTTCCAGCTGGACCTACATGTCATTTTAAATCATGAAAGTGACGTTCTGTCCATCATACAATACATTCAGTGAAGCTGCTCTGCCTGTGGGAGAACTCGCGGACAGCTGTGGTAAGGATGCTTTTCTCACACTCAAATGTTAATTTTAACAACCGAATGTCTGTTTTCTTTCAATTCGATTATATAATCGAATTTAGAATATTAGTTGACAGCCCTAGCACCTAAATTAATGTAATAGATACAAGCTTATTATACAGCACATTATGCATATGCCACTCGCCAAGAGGGAGCCAGCACATGTATCAGAGGGCCCCCCTAGTCCCTCTTTGATGGCGCCATTATAAAGAAATAATTAAAAGGTTTTTCATAAAACTATACGTACAAGAGTGTAGAAGAGGCCTTCAAATTCTTATCTTTGTGCATACCCTTTCTCTGGTCACACTGAACAAAGCACTCAGTCTTGGTCTCCTCTGTGGGAGATCATGGAACTATATTTTGCCTTCCCCAGAGGTGTTCACGTTGACTCTGTGTTTGTATTTTCCAGAAAAAAAAAAGACCTCACAAAGCTCCCCTGGTTTTCCTGCCACTCTACAGCCTGGCGGCCCAAGATGACCACGTGGAGTAGGTATCTTAGCTCTCTTTCTGTTTTTGAACTTTCACTTTTGTCCTCCTGACCTTTGTCCTTTATCTTGACCTGTTACACCCACCTGGGGGTCTCGAGGAGCACTGATCACCTGCATAGCATCCATGTCCATATCCAGTAGACTGCCCACTGTGGGGGCATCAAACTGTCGCACGCACACACACGAGAAAAAGCACACAGCACCTTTACTGGGATGAGCTTATGGGGAGGCTTCTGAGCACTGGGAGAATACTCATGTTTATTGGAAATACTGTTTGTAAGACCTCTAAGAGCACGGTGGGTAACTGGCTGCTCAAGTCAATACTGAATTTAACATGCCCTTATCCACTTGGCCTTGCCATCTCCCCTTGAGGAATTCCCAATGCCTGGGCCATTACTTTATTAGCTCAAGTGAAGTGTATTAGATAAGCCCTCACAGTGGGAAGGGATCAAGTGAACATAAGTACCAACTTCAGTAGCAGAACTTGCCCAGAAATCATGGAGACCTAACGTATTTATATTTTCAAACCCAAATATATGGCGGACAAAGCCGTAACAGTTAAATATTTTAAAATACTTTTATATACTTCAAATTTATAACATAGATTTCACTATGTTCACAATGGGTTTAAGGTAACAAAGTTATGCATGCTGCCGACTGCTGATTCAACTTCATGACTTTATCCTGCTAGCCTGCTAGCTAACATGCTAAATGCTACACAGCTAGCAACAACAACAACAAAAACACTACACTGCATTTTCCCCACCGAATTTATGTACATTTTGTACAAATTTCTAAAAAAAAATAATTTTAAAGTTTGCATGGACAGCTATACAGCTCACCAAAGGTAATCTAGCTGAAGGTGAACGTACACCGATTGAGTTTTCCACCTCTCACTTTCCCCTCCACCCCTTGTACTGCAAGGGGCTATTTGTGTAAAGGTAGGTGTGATGCACTGTGGTGAGCTGAGGGTGGCGAGGGCATGTTAAAAAAACAGTACTGAAATGGGACCTGGGAAATATTAATTTCTGAACTGCATGCTGAAAAGCTCTCTGGCTTTTGGAGAGTGGATAGGTAATGGGAAAAGAATTATGGGGTGCTGAGTGAGCATGGTAGCTATAAAGTGACACCAAGAGGATTATGAAATACTTAATGTAGTAATGGTATTTTTAGAATGATGCATGTAAAAAGAAATGGATCTGCAGCAGGGGCTCCTGGATGGATGGGAAGTACAACTCTAAGAACGGAGGGTGGAAGTAAATGGAGTAGACAAACAGGTGAATGTTTGGATAAAGAAGGTGCTTTGGATAAAGAGGGGCTCACAGATTGAGAGGTAAACTGTAATTTGACCCCTAACCTGTGATGGTGTGGTAACGTTAATATCTGGTACCACTGCGTCCTCAAACAGGTTAATGATGTCCGTTTTCGCATCTTTAGCTGGAGAAGGCCTGGGGGGCCGTGGGACTGGAGGCCCCAGTCTCAACTGCCGCGCACACACACACACACAGACATGTGCCACACACAACATATGCGTGCAAATAGTAAAGAAGACAAATACACGTCATGTGATTAGTGAAATATCACAAAACAAGAAGGGCATTTCAAAATGTTGTTAGATTATAAATGTCTACTTTGGGTTAGTAATTGCATTGAAAAAGACAAGCAAACACTGTGTTTGACTATGTGTGTGTACTTGGTATAATGCTGTGTATGTGTACAGCTTTTCTTTGAATTTCCATTGCTTCCTACATCACATTACATACATGTGCAAAAGTCAGAGATCACCCTTCATTTATTTAATTTCCAATTTAAATGGCCTTTCAGTACAAGACATTTTTGAGGAGATTACGTATTAGATCTACTTCCATAAGGAAAGTGAAAGTCTCCCAAAATAGAATTCAAAGAGGATTAAAAGATTCAGTGAAAGTGTGGGGACTCCTAACAACCATGCAAGACCTGCTGACCATCAGAACTGTCACTGACAGTTTAATAACTGTTTCCACTGGAAATTAAATATATGAAGTTTGGTGTCTAACTTGTTCAGAACTGTCCATGGTTGGTTGTAAAACTGTCTCTCCCTCTCTCCCTCTCATGAAACAGTACCTTAGATGCTGGTGTAGTTGTGTCTGACTCAGATGCTGCTGTGGCATTGTGGTTGGCGGCTGCTTCACTGCAATTAAAAAAAAAGAAAAAAACTCAGCGTTTCTGCAATGTCTGAAAGTCGCCACTGTGTGGCAGCAGAGAGCCATGAGAAGCCATGCTGATATCAAATGGTAAGGCTATAACACTATGGATAAAAGAACTAATATCATAATATGCGCTTCATAAATATTTGTCCACATGCACATTCAGGCACAGACTGAAAACAAGGTAGCAAGTGTAAAGTATATCTGATGAGTAAACGAATGTTAATATTAGTGTCGCTCGAACCGTTTATACACACAAAAAAATACATATATACCTCTTCCCGGTAGTCTTGACAGGTTTTCTAGGGGAGGTTTGGATGAGGATTTGTTTAGTCTATAGGGAATACAGGAGCTCCCAATGCACATTTCTCAATAATATTGCAAAAATTAGACATAACAGACTCCTGAATTACAGAACTGACAAAATTCAGACAACACTTACTTGGCCTGTCGCTGTTCCTCCAGTTTGGTCATAATATCAAAAAGATTCTGGTTCAGCTGTGAATAAAAGAGAGCTTTATTCAGGGGGCAAGAATACTAATAATCTATGGCATGTCTTTATTCTGTTGTTACAGATGAGTTGATGAATCAGCAAAACTCTCACTTTGCCCATCTCTCTGTGGAACTTCTCTTCCAGTCCCGCTACATTCTGAAAGGTGGTCACATAGAAACCAACACGACTAAAGGAGGGGGGAGAGAGACACAGAGATATCATGTGAGAACCAAGCTGAGAGCAAGTGTTCCTTGTTTTAAGGATGAAGTATGGGTAAACAGAAGACGAAGAAAGAAAGAAAGATAAGTGGTGGCCGGTGAAAGATGAAGGGATTGGTACCTGTTCCACAGAGTTGGAAGCTCCTCTTGGAGATCATAACTGATCTCTTCAAACACCTTTTGTGCTTTCCCCAGCTCTTCCTCTGCCTAACAATACACACACACAAATAATTAATGTAATTACAGTTGTAAAGCTGTTTTAGCTGTATAGCTAAATTTAGTTGGCTAATTTGCTAACATTAGCCAATTACTTTGGTAACAGTCTTTTTTTGCTTCAGAGCTCGTCCCCTATTGCTTGATAAACCAGACAAGCTATTATTCTCAGATCATTTCCAGTGCTACTGTCTGTCTCCTTTTGTAAATGCAACCAATATAAAATACACTTGGCTAACATTGCCTAAACAGATATCTGACTGAGTGGACACTTACTTAACTAGTGGACACATGTGCTACCCAGCAGTCATATGAATAGTAATGTTAGTTAGTTATCGGTTATCTGTGGAAGAGCAGTTCAGATTAATCTATTCGAAGGGGATCGCAGCACAAGTCATGTTACAAAATTTTCTTCTGCACCTTTCGTGCAAGTTACATATATTTCCACCAGAGAGGTCCTTACAAAGTGCAGCTTTATGAACACCTTTAGCGTGTTAGCGGCAGTGAGTAATGGTAGTTTGTTTAATGTTTAGTAATAACACCTTTAGAGGGTAGTGGTGAGCAATTTGAGCTTGAGCTGTGTCTGTTGTCAGGTAGAAACTACTAAGTTTCAACAGCTAATAAGCAAAATAGCTAATCAGCCAATTTAGCAACCTTAGGCTAGTATTTTTATAGAACAAAACAAATCGTAAACTGCACTTAGTTATATGGTAATTAATCATCAGTTAAAATTTCATGATCAAGACAAGCCTAAGACTTTTTGCAGAGTTCTGTAGGTAAGATATATGTAAAATCACACTAAAATACATTTAAATTGCATTTGAATTACTGATTGTTCTGGAGTACTTTCATGACATAGCTTTATATAGCACAACTTTACATGACACAGCAGGCAGTTTAGTTTATGCCAAGACTCAGAGTCAACAGACGGGGGTTAGAACAAGGCAAAGTGACAGGTGTGTCACCTGGCTTCTGCTGAGGTTAGTTTGAGCAATTTGATGTGCTGTGATTATTCCCTGAGCCCAACCTGGAGCCGCTTTCTCCATCAGAGCCAGGGGCTAAACATGCAGAGAGAGGGAGAAAGAGAGAGAGAGAGAGAGAGAGAGAGAAAGAGAGAGAGAGAGAGAGAGAGAGTGTGAGAGTAAGTGAGTGAGTGAGAGAGAGAGAGAGGGGGGGGAGCGAGCGCATGAGTGAGAAAGAAAGAAAGAAAGAAAGAAAGAAAGAGAGTGTGTTTGTTAGCAAGCATATTAGCGCACACATTACACTGACTCAAAAAATCCAAATTGACAGCAAACTTATTTAGCTTTTTGCACAGAATCACAAACATACACATACATAACCACAGGATTAATTACACTGATTTTCCAAAAATAGAGAACAAACAGTTCACACAGACAGACAAGACAGGCTTTTTTACGGTACATCTCTGGTACCTTGGCGATTTTGGCCTCATCCTTCTTCTTGCTTTTCTGTATGGAGGCAAAATGATGTCTGGCACTGTCAAAGTCCACCAGCTTTCTCTCGCGCTTCGCAATACGAGCCTGGAGGGGGAGCCACACAGATCTCTGCTACAGGACATGTATTTTTCCACATCCATAATAGTGTAATAAAAGTTAAAGCTAACCTTAATTTCAGGAAACTGAGCCATGTAGGTATCCATGGAGATGAGAGCACTGTCCACAAGCTTCTGATAGAAATCGTCCCATATAACATCTGTGTCCTGCCAAGCAAAAGTCATTAGATCTACAGACACACAGACATACAGTGCTGAGCAAAAGTCAGACACCATCCTTCATTTATTTAATTTCCAGTCAAAATGTCCATAAAATACAAGTTATTCGTTTTTCATTAGATATTCCTGAGGAGATTAAATATAAGACAAGCCACTTGTATAAGGAAGGAGAGAGTAAAAGGAAAATAAGTAAACAAAAAGCAAGTGTTCCCAAAACTAAAGTTCAAAGAATTATTAACAGAGAAAGAGAAAAATGGACTTCTAACAACAGTAGTTTCATCTCTTTCTTCAGATCTGAAAAAAATCCACAGGTGTTTCTGTCCATCCTTCCACAGTGATAAAACAAGTCTGAAAGGATGTGTTGCTGTCAAGAAGCTGTTACTGAGAAAAGGAAATTTGGAAAGAAAAACAAATGTGCACTAGAACACCAAAACTGGAAATCTGAGATGTGGAGTAAAGATTTATGGACTAATGAGGCTAATTTCTCAGTGGGCTTACTTGGCTTTAGAGCTTGAACTTCTAAGGCTGAACTCTGCAGATTTCTTTGAAAAACTGAAAACAAGTTGCTCAAAAAGAATGCTGCAGTTATGAAGCTGCAACAAATGTAAAGGGTAGACACATTAAAGTGTTAGAGAAAAGATATATTTAGTTGAAACTTAAATACACGTTTTCTAAATGAGCAATTTGTACTTAACGGCAGTTTTGTCTGGAAATTAAATAAATGAAAAGGTGGTTTCTGACTGCACAGTACAAACAACAAACACAGATATCAACACTAACCTACCCTAACGAACAATTATTCACTACATGCAACTGACAAGCCTGAATACCAGACATGGAACACCAAAGTGCCAATGTATCTCGAATGCTAACACAGTGACTACACTTCACTAGACCCTAAAGCAACTACAGCTTGGAAGAGTCGTCCAACTACTTTACCTCCAGATTATTATCCATCTCCTTCTCTATTAATTCCTTCATGCAGGAGTAAGTGCACAGAATGAATGACAGAATAGGAATGTGAAAGAGTTAGACAGGAAGACAATGTAGACAAAATACTGAAAATGGAAAAATGGAAAAAGACAGAGCAAGAAGTTACAATTCTGTTATATTAGCATCTGTTATCTATATCTATTTGTTAGTAGTCAAGCACTTATTTTGACAATAACTGAGTTAGAGTTTAAAAAAAAAAGGTCAAATGAATAAATACTGACTTAACTGAACAAACCATGCATGGCCTTTTAAAGATTTCAAAAAACTTAACTGAAAAAGATAAACAAGCAAGCATCAGTATGTATGAAAAGCGCATACTGGTGTGAACATCTTTGTGTAAGAGATTACCATCACATCAAAGTGCCAACTAATCACTGTGTCAAATCAATAAGAAGGTCAATTTTATATGATTGAAGTTTAATTCGTCACTTGATCTATTATGACAGCTCTGGTTACAACATAGTTAAAACTTCAGAGTGTTGCTGACTTCTAACATATAGAAAGCTGAAAATGGTATTAAAAATCCTATAATGGTGACAAGCGGTGTCAATCTAATGATATCACATAGCACTTTACCACTCAACCTCACATAACCCATTTCGGTGTGAAAACACAAACACAAACACATCTGACGCAGGAAGCTTGGCAGTAATGGGCTTACACACCTCTGCGAGGGCATCCATCTCCTCCTTCCCAAACCAGTCTGGCTCATACATGTCTGCTAGACAGTCCTGCAGACGCTTGGAGCTTTCGTGCATTGCTGAGGAGAGACAGAAAGACAGACAGACAGCTGCCAGAAGAACTAAAAAACAACACGAGCACAGGAAAGCACAAAATACAATCTCCCACACATTCGTACATACTTATACACCCACACAGTGACAACTGAAAAAGCATTATCAGGAGCGTTAATTAGTACATTAATTACAGTTCATTCATAGTATACGTGAGGTACATAGAAAATCTAGTGGGCATAGAAGATATGTCAACATTACTTAAATATAATTTTTATTTATAAGTTGCGTTTATTAATACTAACATATTTCAGTGCATACTTATGTTTTAGAAAAGTACACTTACATGCATTTTATTAGTTGAATGTGTTTACATTTATTTATTGATATTTAGTTTAGATGCAGTAGAACTCAGTAAGTAGCACAGAAGTGTAGCAGTACATGAAGTATTTTCAACTTACACTGTTAAAAACAACACTCAAAAGCACTACTGAATGCATTTAATGTATATTTAAATCCATAAATTATCATAGGTTGTTCCAAAATAATATACTTAGTATGTATTAAAGTGTAACATAATGTAAAAACATGTACTTTTCATATTAAATACACTTTTGAAAAGTACACGTAAATGCATTTTTCTCTCACAAGGACTGACTTACTTTTTACTGCTGCCAGATATGCCCTCAGATCTCTTTGCAGTTTTGTGCCTTCAGTCTGTACACAGAGAAGGAGAGGACCAGCACTCCAATTAAAGGAAATGTATGGGGTTTTTTTTTAACCATAGTCACTTACTGCCTGTCACCTATCTATTTATAATCTATTTAGAAAGCGTTCTACCACTATGAGTCTCCTCCACAAAGTAATTTTCCCAGGGTTAATGGGACATGGGGCAAAGACACAAATAAAGGGTTACAACTTTAACATTATTATTAAACTCTTATTACATATCCTTAGGCTCAATATTCAGTAACTACATGGACTCCAATGCAACCTGGCAAATAAGTTATTCTTAAGTTATAGAAGCATGTAATAAATGGCAAACTAAGTGGTTACAAATTTAAAAGCTACCACGTCTTAAGGTGGCATACACTACCTTTTGACTGCATGCAACTCAAAGAAGCCTGGATTTCTACTCTATTCTTTTCTATGTAAACTTAACAAATATATGACAAAGAACAAATTTGCTAAACTTGCCAATCTTGTACCTTACCTGTTTAAAAACAAACATGTTTTGTACTCATTAACATAGATTGTAAGCCTTGTGAAAAGATAATATAATTGAAACCTTAGTTAAAATAAGTGTCTCAGCTGAATTACAGCATGCCATTACAAAAATAACATTTAAAAAATCAGATAAGAGATCTGACTTTGCCACTCACTGTTACAGCATAGCCTGTGTATGGATTAAAAACAGAGAGGCAGCATTAGGCTCAGAGGTCAGAGCTGAATAGTTAGGGGATAGAAAGACTGTGTATTAGAAAGGATCTCACCATCTGCTTGTTGAAGTTAGCCACACTTTCCTCAAATGCTGTATCTTTGGTCTCATCAGCTTTCCCCAACTTCTGCATCATCTAGAAATCAGACCAGATTTATTTTGACAATTAGTCGTGTAATTATGGTGTTTACCAAACAGTAAAAATGTTTTATTTTTATACTTAAAGCAGCATTATACGAGAATTGGTATTGTTTTTGCTTTTGTGCTCCCCCTACAGTTGCAGAGTGTATTTATTTCACTTTTACACTTACAACTTCACCTATATATATTCAGTGCTAGTAGTATTTTCTGATAGAGTAATTTAGGCCATTAAAATATCCTACCTAAAGTTTTATGTACAGCGCTACCTAAAAATATGTGGTATGGTAAGACATTTTGCACTATAGCACACTTTGTCAGCACCAGTCTCTTGGTCGATCACTCTCTCATGTTCTCTTTCTCGCTTTCTCTGACGTCTTCTGACTCTTCTCAGCCTCTGCCGTGATGTCCATGCTGGAAGTACCAAGCTATTTGAAGTTGTTGGTGTATGACGTGGTGCCGTAAAGCGTTACACAGTTATGGTACTGTTAAAATGTCCTACAGGCAGGTATGGTATGGTGATGTCGGAACATCACCCTGGATGACTGGAATCTCAGAACTACAGATCTGTTATCTCCTATGGTTATCTCTGATAAAGGGAATGTTGATTTTCTAAGTGAAAGATAAGTTCACACATCCTCTGCAGGGGGAAAAAAATAATAAATATAGTATTTTTTTCTAAATTTTAGTGCACAACTTTTATTTATTTGTAGAGTTTTTTTAAAAAAAAAACAAACAAAAAAAAAAGGTACAAAGTACAAAATGTGCCATAACTTTGCACAGGCCACATTTAATGTTTTACTTTTTCCCCCACCCAGTATGTTAAATTCCGCAAATAAACAGTGACTGTGCATTAATTATACAGAAGAGTGTAATCTCACTCTTTCAACAAAACACGTAACCTGACTGGGGCGCCCAAACCTTTGCATACGACTGTATACATCAAAATATAAAACCACTTCTTGACAAGAAATGCATATACATGAGTGTATGTATAAGACTCTGTTTCTTACTGTAAAAGAGGCTGGTATGAGATTTTAAAATGTGCATTATAATCATGCAAATCACGAACCAATTATTGAAGACTAAAATCAAGTGAACAAATAGACTGGGCTTCTAGGAACACTGTACTTTAAATACACACTTGTAAAACTCTAATAAAAACTGACAAGCTTTGTTTAACTCTTTCTTAATACAGTCAGGTTTTCCTTTTCCATATGCATAAAACAGACCCTAATTCTACTTGAAGTTACAAAATGGGAGATACTTAAACCATGCTTCAGGGCCAGTCTCAACATTTTCAGAACCAGAACTGAAATCTAAATAAGCTTTTTCATTGCTTTTCTTTGGCGACTGTTATCACTGATTGGCAAAGCTATATATATATATATATATATATATATATTTATATGCAATGTTATGCTTTCATTGCATATATAAAAAATTACACCACTTCAAAACGTTTCTTATTTCTTAGGAGTTTTTACTTGTTGCTGCTTAATGGCCCAGCAGACAACAAGCTCACATGAATCCAGGAAGGAATGGACAGAAAATTGATTTACCAGACCTTTACAACAAAATCAAACTTAATGGATAAAACTGGCAAAATCATTTACCAGACCTGCAATCATGACTCCACGCAAACACAATAAAACAGAGCAAACACAACAAAACTGAGCAAACACGATTTTATCTGAGCTAAGTAACGAGTGGAACATGGTGAAAGATCACTTGTATGTTTCTAACGTATCTTTCTAATGTGTGTAACGTGTACATCTATGAACAGTACTCGCAAACCTCACTTCTGTCAGTTAGTTTCATTTCTACATTTGTAGATTTCCACAACATAAACTTTTACTCATCAAGTTAGGCTGCTCAACAGTCTCAGCACTGACATAAAGACACAAAAGAAAGAGGAAAACTTATGAAAAGAACAAAAGGGGGAAAGACTATTGGAAAGGAATAATAGTGAAAAGGGTAAGGAGGAAGAGGCCTGACCAACCACATACTAAATCCTATTACAGAAGGGAATTAGAAGTGTGTTTACACCGAGCAAAGAAGGGGAGAGTGCTGCTCAATAAAGGACAGATACCTTCTCATCTGGTCACTTAAGTGCGCAGACACAAACACACGTATAAATACAAAGATTCAGTCACCAAGGCTAATTGTTCTTTTGATTTAAATAACAGTAGATTGATATTTCTACAAGAAATAGACAGTGTATCGTCACTGTTGGGACAAAACCTTGTATCTCCATGTTTTTTTTTTGAAGCAAGTTGGCCTTTACAATGTGTTAAAAAATCATGATGAATGAACCAATACACATGGTCCAAAATTACTTGAGACATCTTGTTACATTAACTTTTATTCAGTGAATGTCTTTTCTTTCTCCTGGTTTGGAGACATGAGATTTTTTTATTATCATTGTGTGTAATTGCAATTCAGTTGAGAACATTTTTTGGCCCAGGTTTTTTATATGACGGTATTGTAATGTGTTTAATTGTCACACTGTCTCCCCCCCTCTGGGAAACTCTAGTTGGACCTTCCCAGACCAGTTCACCTAGTCTATGGACTCATTACCTCTCATACATAGATACCTTCGTTTAGCCTTGGGCCGTGCAAAGCCTTGGTTCCTTATACAGTGAACTGAGCTGTCGTCTCCTTTGCCTGACTCCTGCTTGGTTTTCTGGATTTCCGTTCATGGATTTGCCTGTAATGTTGCCTTGTGTTACGCAGTCTGAAATTCAGATTTTGTTTGGAATACTTACGTGAAATAACCATTTTACAGTATTGTGAATACTCTACAATTTCAAATCGCAAAGTAGCTTGCTCGTTTCTCCTTTCATTGGGTTCTCCTTTCTTTGGATTTTTTGGGATTTTGCTATTTTATTTATCTTTTGTCCACATTTATCTGTGGATAGAATACAGAGAAAAAGAGACAGCAAGGAACAAAATGTCCACATTCAAACCTGATTACACAGGAGCTTTCCCACAATGTTGCCTTTTAGACAAGAAGATCTTGTCCCTTACACTGGAACATGGCAGGCATGCACTAGACAGCTATCTATCTAATGTAGACCATTTACAACTAATTACAACAAACTACCACAATCTCCAAGCCATTTGAAAAACTGCGGAAGAGGAAACTAGATCAGGGACAGCAACCTTCTACTGCTGCTATCCCCCTCCATGCTACGGGGTACATAATGTTTTGTGTGTGTATGCATCACTGATAATTGAGTGTGTAAAAGGTGATCTAAAAAAAACGTGGTATCCTCAATTATTCAGTTATTACTCTTAAAGTTTTTTACCCAGTAACTACTCTGAATTATGTGGTGATTTCCTCGAAACCTTTTGTAATGTATTTGGATTGGACTGAGGAACTGAAGTTTGTACCTGTAGACAGGACCTTAGAATTCCTCTCAATTTTGACATGCTCGTTTGAGAGCCCTAAAATTCTTATGCAGACTCTGAATACAGAAGGTAATACATTTATTCATTTACCCAGAGTCACTTGTTCAAAGAATAGAAATTTCATTAAAGTTATACAAAGTACCCAGACAAACTCTAAGGATCTATGACCTGAAAGAAAAGACTATAAAAGAATAGATTTCCAAAATGTGCTGCCACAAGATCGACCACAATATTGCCCCCGTTTTGTGTAGCTTTAGGCTTGCATAAGGCTGTAATGTTAGGATGGATCATAGTGAAGTAAAAACCTAAAACCCAGGCAGCTGTTCATTCAGGGTAGAGTAGGGAGGCCACTCCACACTGCCTGAGTCAGCCATCTTTCATTCATACTACTCTCAACAGACTGACTATTCTGAAGCAGCTGAATAAATCCTTTGCATGTGTGCCCAACAGAGAGAGAGAGGGACAGAGAGAGGGGGAGAGAGAGAGGAAGAGGTTTGCAGGATACCAATTACAACGACACATACTGAGAAACAGCAAACATACATGGTGATTCACACACACACAGCAGTCTTTAAGTGAAGTGGCTAGGCTCCATGAGTTTTCTTACATAGCTTTAGCCATCAGGTCGATGAGGCTTAGGTCACGGGAGACTTCCCAGGATTATTTTTTTGTATTTATTAGACATTTTTTTCATTTGTGTTTTATGGGCCCCACAGGCCTCTGACTGTTGTGCACTGGTGTTCAGTGACAGGTCCAAAAATATACCTGAGCCTCATTTAACCCTCCCCAGATCTAAAAACCCTTGTCACATTCTGTGGGATTAGCTCACAGGCTACAGACTGTCTGCTATTCATAGCCTTGCTTCATGTCCAAAGGCCTTCTGGATCAGAACAGGTGTGTGGGCGTGTACCTATGAGGAGGGGTGGTTGGGAATAAGTTGATTGACATATGGTCTGTTCACTGAAACTTGAGGGCAGAGGTCAGAGCAGAGCTGGGTGATACTGATAGAATCCAGCATATCATGGTATCACAGCATCAGATGATATTTAAGGTCACCAATAAGGCTAACAAATCTATGCTTTCTGAGTAATGGTAAGCTCAAATAACCAAGCAATGCTTGTTTTGATTCTTTTGCACTACAAGGACTCTTATAGTAAATTTCTACCAGTATAGCAACAGGGATGCCATTACTTATACAAGTGTATAATGCCTAATCTATCAATACTGCTTAAACTGAAAAACAATATTGTTGTGTGACACCCACACCAGTATAGACAATATATATCGGCCTGCACTAAGAGAAGGGCAGATGGACGTTTCCCTTTGTGGGGCAGGGTCAATGGGCTCCCTTCCTTATGAGTGTCTAATTTGGGAGCAGATGCCTGCGTGAATCTGATGCCTGATGGCTCTCCGCTCCCATTCCTCCCTGCTCTGATGTCACACTGACATATCAGACCCGAGACCATACATGTCTCTATAGCAACCGGACATGCCAACGTCTTTTCCAGTTTAACAGCAAGCCGCTGACCAGGAAGAGGAATGACTCAGGACAGGTGATGACCACAGTGGAAAATGGATGGGGTGGGGTGGGGCTACAGGGGCAAAAAGGAGAGAGGGAAAGATGGAGACACTGAGAGAGAGAAAGAGGGAAGACAGAGAGCAGAGAGATGGGGGTCTGCCAGAAGAGTGTTCTCCTCTGGCTGGCTGAGTTTCAGAAGGGAAGAAGAGACTATGACCTCCCCTCAGAGCAATCACATGGAGGGTCATATATCACAGGGAGGGAGAAAACACACATACACACATCTATGGTATCTGATGTGAAGCCCTGCCACATAAAAGCTAAAAGCTAGCTGACAAGACCGGATAGAGCATGCTAATGAACCACTGGAATGTAATAAATTAAAAGGGCCTGTATCCCATTTTTCTGATATTTTATTTCTTTACCCAACATCTAATTACAAAACTTGTAAGATTTTAGGTGCCAAAAACAGTCATAATTCTTTTTTACATGACCATTTTTCATCCTCTTTAACCTCTAGAATTAAACAGGCTGTATTTGTTACTCTGCCTTTAAGAATGATATATGTAAATAAGTTCTGTTCTGATTGGCTGCCCTGTATTGTATCTCATACAAAAAGCAGTCCCTTAAAGCTTTACTTATATTTACACAGGTTATTATAATTTTAGATGGTTGCTGCTGATCAATTTCTGCCAAGACTGCGATGATCAAGGTATTATAAGTAACTCATTCTTGTTCTGAATCTTACGCATTATAATAACTAGATATCAACCTCTGCTGAAAGTAATTCACAAGCAGAAGTGCTAGCCTTACATTTCTTATTTTTTCTAGAGGCTGAACCTTGTGGCACAGGCATATAGGAGGATGCGAGGAACGAGAAAAGTGATCCTCTATTAGATAAAAAGCAGCATATGGAAGATGAGGCAAGCAGAGAACATAATGAACTCTTTGTCCCTAAATGAGATATTGATACATACACACACACCCACACAATTAGGCAGCAGCATGCAGGTTTGAATCCAAGTAACAAAGAACGATATAACTTTTTCTCTAGAACCATCTGCAACCAGCCTAGCCCTTGTCCCTTCCCACTTGCACCTGTTTGTTCATAACAAGAGCCTTCAGACAAGCGAAAAGCTCCCAGCCCTCCTCAAGAGACAACGAATAAATGACTCACTGGAGACCAATATGTCTTAAACCTATACATAGCTTCCAGTGCCTGGGACCGGTCAGCTCATAATGCAGTCACTGATCAATGCCACATGGCACACATATGGATACTGGAGAGACCCCTGGCCCTCCAATCACATGAACTCCTACAAGACCCCAATACAAAAGACTTTAACTGCTGTACACATTTTATTTTCATACATATTTTAATACACATTAGGCTACATGGCGTGGGTCACAGAGGAAAAGGCACTTCCTGCCTGGAGGCCAATTCTAAATTTAGTTGTAGTTAAGTCGGATTCAGAACAAACCACAGTATCAGATTCATACAACCCCTAACCATTTCTTAGTAAAAGGCTCAGAACATCCTAAAACACGCACGTGGTTCGCTGTGAGTGAACTTTCCTATAAGGAAAAACTCCTCAGCTGCGACCGGCTGACAGGGAGGGACAGGGAAGATTCAGCTTGTGTTTTATCCGCTACAGTCAGTTTCCGCTCGTCTAGCGCTCCATCAAGGGAAGTAAACCACTGTTTATCAGTGAGTCCGCTGGAAAAGCATAAAGCACTGTAGTAGTAGTAAAGGACTGAACAGCGCCCTGCGAAACTATATCATATACGAAAGGAATGGATAAACAGCGCTAAAACTCAGTAAGCGATGTCTGCAATAGCAAACAGCAAATGGAGAAACGTTAAGGGTTTCAGTTCTCAGCCCACGGCGTTCCTGTTGCTTTGACATTTAGCGAGCTGACTGAAGTACAGACGGTCTCTGTACAAGCATGTGCACGTAGCTCTAGATATGCGAAGTGCCACAGAGCAGTAGATGAAAATTGTACAGACATTAGCAATGTTTTGGAAGTTTTTTTCTTTATCATACCTTCTCTTGTGCTCGAGTTATCCTCTTCTGTACATTACTAGCCAGTTTCCCGGCGTTCACCCCTTTCCCTGTCTCAGCCATGATAGTCAGTGCAGTCTCCCCAAGTCTGCCGTAAACAAACTAACGAAAAAGAAACTAAAGTGCAGGAGAAAATATGGAAGAGGTACGAAATGAAGCGGAAACAAAAGTGGAGGCTTGGAGGAACTCCACAACTCTTTCGAGTCTCCAGTCGATTCAGTGGTAAAAGCCTCTTAAAGGGATAGTGAGGACAGAGCGTAACTCTAATCCCTGACGACGACAGCCCCTTTAAAGGTGAGCTTCACTTATTATACTGGCGCGCCACCTAAATATACTCAAAGACACAGTGAATTGGAGAAAATTGTGTCGCTTGGTACGCTGCTACACCCATAGGGTAGCTTGTTTCTGGCAACACAGTTAATTAATTAGGAGCTCATAAATCAAATAGCGGGGATTATGTTACCCCTCCTCTGGACAGCCTCTTAAAGGCACAGTTAAAAGCCACAGTATTAGCCGACACTGTACTAGACACAGGAAGGATGTATTTATATATAACGGTCTCTAACTCTAGCTCAATAAACATCTTTATTTTAAATAGCGTTCTGCAGAACCACCAGGCACCACATCCATCACATCTGCCTGTAATAAAGAGTGTCCCAAGTAACAAAATAGCCCATATCTGATTTTAATCTCAAATTAATCATTTAATCTCAAAAATAAACCTTTAAATATTCTACTCTGTAACTTTGAACATTACAGACATTTTAATAAAACAGATAGAAAATGTTCATATTACATACACAGATATAAGATGAACAGATATTAATTTTGGGGATGGGCACCCTTTTCTGTACCAGAAGCTGCCAGTCATCCACCAAATAGAACAAAAAACATTTGATGACTGGAATTCTTGCAAAGCACAGATCAAGAGGTATGCTTTCTGTCTGTTTCTGGCATTTTGCAGCTCAGTCTTTTACAGAGGATTTTTGTTTAATCCTGGTGTCTCTATAGTGGCCTGCTTGCCCTAAGCCTCCATTTATTTTGCTTCTTCTTCTTTTTCTTCTGCCATGTCCTCTACATGTTCCAGACCTTTACCTATCAGTACCCTCCATGGCCCAGGGGTGAAAGAGTTCAGAGTCCAGCAGCAGTTTTCCCACCCAGCGCAAGGCATGAGCATACCAGTGTAGTCCCTCTCCGTGGACTCGATTTGGCCCAGTCCAACTGTAAAGCATGCGGAGTGGGCCAAAAGCCCAGTGAGCAAGCTGATGTTTTTCTACTGCAGCGTAGCATGAAGTCATTGCCCCATTGACCAGCAGACTTCCCTGGGTAGTGAGTGGGGCATATGCACCACGATCCTCCCACACACGCAGTCGGGTGATGCGCGAAAGCTGGCCATTTAGAAGCCCTTCGGCCCCTTCCTCCAGAGTCAGCAAACACTGCCCTGGGTGTGCATCACTGGCAAATATTGTACGCATAGCCCCTTCTGCTGGCAGGGTCCCACCAGTGCAGTTTCCATCCCACACAAAGAGCAAATGTGCTGCAGTCATGGAGAGAGTGGCCCCATTGTGTGTACTGATCACATAGAAGTGCTTCTTAATCGCTGGGTCACGGTCCAGGAAGGCGAGGACCTCACTATAGATGAGATTGCCACTCTCTGTCGATGCCAGGACACGATCACCAGCCTGCAGGTCACGCATTGACTTCCGACCCCCCTTTTCCAGTGTCACCCATGCCCTTCCTGGAAAGCAACCCCCCGTCTTAGCTGCCACAGAGTGTTCTGGAGAGCCAAGGGCCACACAGCAGAAGAGAGAGGGAAAGAGAAAGCAAGTGTGTGAGACAAAGAAGATAGATACATTTAGAAAATGAGGGCTAACACATTTTTTAGCTCAGTTATGTGGCTCTAGGAAAAACCTTTGGTATAGAACCTTTACATTTAAACATTAAAAAGTAAAATTGACACATCCACACATCTCATTTACAACAAAGTGTTTTTTAAGACCATTCCTTCTTGTATGGAATTCTATTCGCACCTAGGAACCCTTTAGGGTGCCTTTATAATTCCTTCCATTTTCTAAATTTCTACATATTTACATTTTTAAGATGCAAATAAAGTAATTCAGAGTGGTTTTATGTGAAAGGGTCCATTCTAGAGAAATGTACCGAGTTAGAAATGTTCACAGAGGTGGTGACAGAAATGTCTGGAGTGTTTAAAGCCTCTATAAGATCCCACACCGAATGTTTTTATACAAAATGGTTACAAATATGCTGCCTATTGCTTGAGACATTGTTGTTCAATTTTGGCCAATTTTAAAAAAATAATGGGGGAGAGGTACCTGGAGGGTGTTGCGAGGCAAAGTAGGACCCAAAGAAAACTTTTTTTTCCAGATTTACCACAATTTTATCATTATCACCATTACATGTTAAAAACCCAGAAGACATGTAAGTTCACTGATCATTTTGCACAGTTAATAATCATTTTTCTTTGCACTTTTAAAACATTTTGTCCATGCCAACCCTAACCAAGGCTAATACCTCTGTCTTCCTTTCCACTCACTGGTTGAGCTGATGTAGGTGATCAACAAGGTTCCTGATTGCGTTGAGCTATGCATTGGCCTTCATGTGCAATTCTCCAAAATGCAGTTTGGGAGCGCCTCCCAGTGGATTTTTTAAGACCAGTATTGCCAGCAATAGTTGCCTTATAGTTATCTTCTTAACTTTAAAGCTGAAAAAATACATTGTGGCTTCTCATCTCAAAATAATAATACATATTTGATAATATATAAATAAACATTTAATTTAGAGATAAAGTTTCTCTGTTCCCATCCAATCAAGTCAAGGACAGCGAACTTGCATAACGATCTGGGCAGAAAGGACAGTGGGAGAGAAAGCACAAGAAATTGGTAGAAAAGGAAAACACAAGAAATGGAAACAGAAAAGAGAGAACAAGAGAAAAAGAATATTACAGCTTTGATTATGAATACACAAAAAGAAAACTATAGTTGAGTGATGGCTGTTTTACTGCTCTCCAGTAACAGAAGGTCTTAATGCACAATTCGTGCACTAGTAACTAGAGATCTATCAAACAAACTTCACACTGATTACACAAATAGTTACATTTATACACATAATATACTTTGCCCAGTGTTGGAGGATAGGATAGCAAGACCAACAGACCCTCTTCCCCAACCTTCTATAAATATTGTACGTGTTACGTGTTAATCAGCCTTCAGCCTAAAGCTTGGTGAAGCCCATGACAGCCATTAAATAAGAAAGAAAATGCTGAAGCAGAATCAGGTAAATAGAGGAAATTAGAACAAGTTAGGGTATAATCAAAAGAATGTATTTATTAAAGAGCCCAGTCCTGGTTCAGGATATGCCAGTGCAGCACTGTGTTGCAAAAAGACAAATGCCCAAAACAACCACAAGAAACTTGTGAAAGAAATGAAGCACCTTTTCTGAAATTGGCATTTCTTAACATATGTGCATGTCACAGCGAAGAGTGAGTTTTTGGGCAGCTCCCGTGCTTCTGTTGTATGTATATTAAGTTGCCTGTTTATTAGGTACACCTATCTTGTACCTACACCTATTGTTATTTTATCAACACCTATCGCATACAGTAGGGTCCAAAAGTCTGAGACCACTAATGATGCTTCCATTTTGCATACTTTACTAGCGGAATACAAGGATTTTCATTACAAATGTTATTATAAGCATAACAATTTAAGTGAAAAGTAGAATCTTATTTTTTTAAATCGTTGTTTATTTCTAGGTTTAAATACAAAAATAAATCCCAGATTTTCAATGTGGTCTCAGACCTTTGGACCCTAGTGTAGTCACACTTTGTAGCTATACAGTTCAATTCAAGGTTGCTTTATTGGCATGAGAATTTACATACAATATATATACTATTACTGAATGGACCCCATCTGTTGCTCCACATTTTGCCAGCCATTCTCTACCCCTTCCTTCAATGTAAAAGGACCACCATAGGACAACCTCTGACCAGGAAGTGGATTATTCTCAGCACTGCTGTGACACCATGATGGTGAAATATTAGAGTGTGTTACACTGGCTCAAGTACAGCAGCTTTACTGTTTTTTTTTTTTTCTACAACTCAGTGTCACTGCAGAGTTAAGAATAGTCCACCAACCAAACAGTGGTGATGAAGGGCTAGCGATGAAGGGCTAGTGCATGACTAACACAAGACGTGGATGAAAAAAAATGAGCTATAGTCTCTAACTGTACACCAAAACAGTGCACTAGCAAACAAGCGGTGTCTAATAAAGTAGAAGCAGTCTAATAACATACTAACAACACTGCTGCATATGATAGACTCGCACCAGCAGAACTCTCACTAACATGTCACATGGTGTCATGGTGGTCCATTTTCAGTCATGGATGTGGTAGAGGGTGGCTGACAAATTGTGCAGCAACAAATGGGCTACAATGAGTAATTGTATTTCTACAATAGGTCAGTGATAAAATGGTCAATGAATGCAGCTACAAGGATGGTATACCTAATAAACTAGCCATAAACATGTACCGGCATGCTTGCCCAGTGCATTGTCCTGCTTGTGTAACTTGCGGTGAGAAGCTGCTTAGTTAGTTGTGGTTAGACAGAAAAGTGATATTCCACATTATCCAATCTCTAAGCCATAGTTATGCTCCTGACATTCTCCTTCTCCTGCTCCTAGTTTCTAAATTCCTCATTCTTCTTCTCACTCCACTCCATCCCTCTCACCTGACTTGACACTGCAGTGGATGTGGCCTTTGGACTCATAGTAAACCCAATCGAAACCGGCCTCTACAGCCAGACGGGCCAGCATGGCATATTTGTTACGGTCGCGGTCTGAAGTAGTGATGTCCACTGCTCTGCCCTCATAGTGCAGAGACTCTTCGGAGTGATGGCCATCCTCATCCCAGCCCTCCGTCACTCGCAGACGCACACCTGGCCATAAGTTCATCACTGAGATCGCCAGAGAGTTCAGCTTATCTTTACATCGCTACAGAGAGACATAGAAGGATGGACAATAGAATTAGAGATTTGTTTCTGATCTGCTCTGTTCAAGCAGGTATTTTTTTAAAGTGAAACAGGTCTGATTAGAAAGTCTGCAATATGAAATACTGCTGTAGTTTCTGTTTTGCTTTAACTCAGCTTCCAGTACACCTGTACCAGGTATGCAGTGTTCCTATTGGCTCAGTTCAGATGTGTCGGAAGCTGGGATAGACCAAAATTTGAACCATCTAGAAGGCCCAGAGGACAGGCTCGAGAACCACTGTTTCAAGTAAAACTTCTACAGAGTATCTTACTCTATACATTGATATTTAAATAATCAGCATCACTTCGAAGCAGCAGTTACCAACCCTGGTTCAGGACCTTCTTGCAGAATCTACCTTACTTGCTCTAGCTAATTACCTTCTAATTAACTACTGGATCCAGGCTGGGTCCAACATATTAGTGTTAGCTAAAAAGGGAGCAGCATGTTAGATACAGGTTGGATTTAAACTCTCCAGGAAAGTAGATCAGGGTTGGTAACCACTGCTTTAGAACATCATTTAGAGCATTTTTTTTTAAAGTATGACAAATTATGAACTGCTGTATTATATCTAGTGCACAATATAAACCCATATTTTTAGGAACACAGAAATAGATTTGTAACATTATAAAGTTTAAATTATTTTAATATGAAGTTATTTATTATTAATATTTTTAACCAAAAATAAAGGTGGCAAATGGAACTAAAAAGTGATGAAGATAGGAGAAAGTTATCCATCCTTTCAATGGATGTTTTTGTAAAGAAACATTTTTGTAAATGAGATATGTGACTGTTAAGAACTTTTTAAAAGTTTATCTAACCTATCTATATCAATTATATATATTTCCTAGAACCATATGTCCAAACCAGCAACATTTATTTTTTTAAGAGTATATGTGACTAAAAGATGAGCCAGATTTGGGATCAAAGAGAGACAGAAGTACAGAGAAGCACTGTGTCTGTGCTTGGGTTTTCAGGAAGCTGAGCATTTTCAGGCTGTCATGTCAAATACTCTGTGGTCTTCTACAGTAAGCCAATAGCCAAGAACCTTTTCAGTGCCAAGTGGCATGCAAATGCAAATACAAGACTAGTCACAATGCACTATGCAATGTACTTTCTTGCTTGCACATACACACACACCTATGGACAGTGTGGATGAGTTTGAAAACCAAGAACACAAGATAAAGACCACACTTAGGCTTATATAAAAAGGGGCTAATTTTGCACCATAATGGAAAGTAAGGTAAATAACACATACACTCTCTAAAAACTACACTCCCTGTCTTGTCTCCAGGCTTTTTATTGTATGTTTTAAAACATTAGGTTATAAAAAAGATACAAATATGTACTTTTCCCACTTATTTAGGGTACACAATTGGACCTCAAAACCACTGTTGTACCCTTGAGGGTACATTTATATTGTTTGTAATTTCTGAACGAAAAACGTACCTGCACAGTACCTTTATTTCTAATACTGTAAATTGAATCCTGTCTAGTTTCCAGTTGCACAGATCATGCATTACTTTTGATACTTTTTCAGCATCCGTGCTGAAAAATGGTATGCATAATGCAGATGTTAAAGTAGTTTTGAGCCCTTAATATCTAACCTAGTAGTATAATGTCTTTGTGAATCATCTATGCCATGCACTCCACTCAGCCCTGGTTGGCCTCCTCAGACCCCCCAAAATACAACTCCCACTTGCTGACCTGTGTTTGCTCTCTGCTGCCACCAAGTTCTCAGAAGCCTGAGGAAAAAGAAAAAGAGAGCAAGGAGAGAAGGACAGAGAGAAACAGACAGACAGGGGAAGGACTGAAGATTGTAAAAGATAAGAATAAGAATATGAATAATAGATTCTAATTCTAATAATAATGCATTTCTTTATTAATAAAGCAAACACAGATAAAAAATGGACAATACAAACTAGAAAGCTTTATTTATAATGGAAAAGCAGAAAATGTGTAGGATAGTGTTATTATTATTAATGGAAAGTGGGTAAAACGGCTCAACTGTTGAGGTAAAGGAATTCCAACATTGAGATGCTGCACTACAAAAGGTTCCATCACTGCAAAGATAACAGAGATGAGACAAAGGGACAGTAAGCAAGTCATTAGAGAGGGATGTAATGGGCAGGATTTGGGTAGGAGATCACGATGCACGATTGTTAGAACCTTCATTGGTGAGAAGTATTGAAGTTAACATGTCATGAGAAACCAGTGAAGACTGCAAAATGCAGGTGTAAGATTGAATATTGGAGAGAAAGACAGGCAGCAAATTCCTGGATAACAAAGTTTGAGGAGTCTAGACAAAATATTGATCACGAGCAAGTTGAGAGACAGGGTCTGAGTTTTGCAGTGTTATGAAGGTGAAATGTTTTTTATTAAGGAACTAACAAGACCATCAAATGACAAGGTCACAAACAACCTAGGGAGATAACTGTGTCACCGATATGAAGATTTATAGGTTTCTTAGCTAATTCTGCTAAGAGCTGATGAGGCAGTAAGAATAAATTCAGTCTTGTCGCTGTTGAGCTTGAGAAAATTATGCCTCATCCAAGCCTTGCTTTCTGATAAACAGGCTTCACTCTGGGTCAGATTATGAATGGAGTTTATGCTGAAGTAGATGTGAGTATAATCAGCATAGCATTGAAAAAAGTTAAAACAACAACAACAACAGCAATAATAGTAATAATAATAATAATAATAATAATGGACCAAGGACTGAGCTTTGGGGAACCCCCTGTGTAACAGTAGAGGGAGTGATAAAATATTTTCTATGGGTCAAATAAGAAGCGTAATCAGTTTAGTATAGTCCAGACAGTGCCTTCACAGAGCGTTGGAGAGCGGCTTGGAACACTGTATAACAGCCTGCCTCAAAATTGTGTTAAACTATTTTGTTACATTGAGTCAGTGAGAGGCTGAAGTCAAAACAGGTAGGCTAGCACATTCCCAGACCATAGCTGATGCATCAACAACGATAACACATATGTACTCTCCCACGCTCATATGTGCTGAGCCTCGCTCCAATTTTAAGATGGTGGGAGCAATGAACACTGAATATATCTGAGATATCTCAGAGAGCATAAAATCAATTCTGATTGTGCAAGGGTAAAGTGCTACCCTCAACATTATATTTTAAGTATTTTTTTTTTATGTGGGGCTCTATGTAGAACTAGTGGACTTCGATCCTTGTCCTACATTTGCGCCATTTACGCAGACACGTCTGATAAGCACGCAAGACTATGAAATCAATTTAAGGAGGCAGGAGCAGGCAGTTTAAACTGATTTTTATTGATACGTGTGTTTTGACATTGTCAGTCCAAAAAGAGAAGAAACATATATTGAGATTTTAGCAAAATAATTTTTCCGACCCCGTATCCAGACTTGTGGATAAGAATAGAATCTCGCGCAGTGGTAATAGATGCCCATTCACACTGTGGTGTGGATTTCAGCGCCCGTTTCTTTTTTTCACGTTGCGGTTACGAAAAGTGAACTGGACTTCATAAATCAGCCCGTGAACTGTTGGTTTAGCTTTCAAGGTGCAGCTCGGCGGTCTCCGAGCAGGAGCGCCTTCGCGCTGACCGCGGCCTGCGCAAACACAAACACGCGCCTGTGCGGGAGAGTCGCCGCTGCATCAAAAAACGAGCCCTGAAAATATGTGTATAATTAAGGCTTAAATGAATGCGAAGTAGGCTATTTTTACACTCTCTCGCGCTAGAAAAACAAACAGAATAAATAACACAAAATAAAATGAAATAAAATGAAAATAAGACAGAGCAGAGGTTGTCTCCGGCGCTCGCCGCAGTCTGGCCCTCATAAATTGTGCGCGGGCTGCGATGTGGCCCCCTCCATCCCCTGTTCGGCTCCCACGGGGGGGGTGCCGCCCGGACAGAACCGTTTGACCATTCAGAGGAAGCTCGCGGTCGTCGGAGCGCCGATTATAAATACTTTTATTCTGCGGGATAGGAGTCGAATAAATTCCACTCGCAGCCACATCAATGACGGAGTCATAAAAAATTCTGACAGGCACCAAAAAAAGGTGGTGGGGGGCACCCATGAGCAGTCGCGCTTAAGCTTACGGTAAACATTAAAACACTCCCAGGTCATGCTCGGATCTAAATGTGTCGAGGTCGTGTTTTCGTTTCCAAACGTGCGCCTGCAACAGAGAACACAGTGTTTTAATTAAACGCTTCGCCCCCCTCATTTTCTCCCCATTTCATTAAAAAAAAGCTTTGAGCGCGAGTTGGCCTGGTTGTTTAGTCCCATAAACTGAGCAGCCGCTTAGTGGCATTAAGTTTAAACTGGTGATAACCGATCCGGCTCTTGTTGCGCCTCTAAATAAAAATAGCCGCTCCGTATCACCCACCTGCAGGAAATAATACGTCTCGAGTCTCTTGGAATCTTCCATACAAGAGTGAGAGACGCGGGGCGCGTGGCGAATATCCGTTTCTCGCTTACTACCAGCAGCATTTGTGGTGCGTTATGGCGCAGCAGGCGCGCGCAATAGCGCGTGGATCCACTGAACGTTAGAGCTCACTGTGCCATGCGACACTGAACATTGAGCAGATAACGGTGGACCTAGACAAAGCGCGCTCCAGAGTCAGTGAGTGCTCCCGCCTTACCTGCGTCATCATCCGGTCCGCACCTGTATTCTCCTCATCCTTAAAGATGATGTCTGGGTTGTAGTTCGCCGTCAGCTCTTTAAAGCGCTCTGAATTGCGCGTGATCTTTCCTTCGTACCTTCCGCTCGCGCCTAAGGTTTTCTCGGCTACGTTGGGGCTGAACTGTTTGTAGGCCAAGGGCGTGAGCTTCCGGGGCGGCCGCCTCTTGCCGTAGCCTCTGCCCGGGCCGCAGCACGCACACGCCGAGGCGAGCAGCAGGACGCAGCCGGTGAGGAGCGGCACCCGCGTGGAGAGCCGCATCACACGAGCGCTCGCGGTTACTCCAAATAGTCCTCCCCCTGGTCGTGGCTTCTGTCCCCACGCCGGGTCACTGAGGGGGACTGGGGCTCGTGCTTAAGAGGGCATCATGTGCTGTTAATCCCGGACAGAAACGTCCGGCGTTTTTGGGCGCAAGGCCTTTAGACCGGTAGGGGTAGCGCCACGGTGCTTGTCTCGGGTCTCTGCAGCTCTCTCTCTCTTTTTCTCTTAGTCCTAGAATAAATAGCCACTTTCCGTTTGTCTTGGCACGCGCGCTGAGAGGCGCTGCGGTGGTGAGCAGCGCGCGCAGACGGAGAGCGCTGCGCTTTTTGCGCTGCGGTTATAGGGTGTCCCCGCCGCGGCTTGGCTCTGAATGCCGCCCTGTGGCACGCGGCTCTCAATGGAAATGGGCGAGAGAGCGGAGAGTTCAGATGGCGCTGGAGCAGACCGCACCCTGCCCGCCCTGCCCGGAGTCCCAGCCCACCTCTCCTCTCCTCCCCTCCCCTCAGCCTCGCTTTATTACCCGCGCTCCTCTCGCGCTACCACTCGTCTAACACACGCGCTTCATAGCCATTTAAAGTCCCGAACATCGGACACAGTCCTTGGGACCCAAGTGTTTTGTTGCAGGGTAAAGTCAGTGCATTGTACGTGCGTTATACACACACACAGGCGAAGTGAGAAACGCGCTAAATAGTAGCTGACAGGTCCAGACTGAACACCCTACACCCGGCCAATGCCAGCATGGTGCAAAGATAGCTGTTCTATTGGGAGAACTACGAGGGATCACTCTAGAGGGAAAAAAAACATCAGCATGGTTGGGCATATTAACTTCCCAAACAGAATTGTTAGCCAGCGCACGGACTGCTAGCTGCAGTTCATCTAAGGAATAGTAGAGGGCCGCAGGACTGTGCTGGTAATTTCTTGGACCTTATCTGTGCTCATACTGTACCATTAAATACCATCATCAAAGACAAAACTACCCAGTCTCATTGATTTCAAATAAAATAGCTTAGTTCTTTATTTCAATAAAATGTTGCATGTGGACAGTCTTAATTAAAACAGATAAAAAATCCAGAGAACAATTAAAAACACTCATTGTATCTAGATTTCTAAGTAGAATTGAACATAGAAAATCTAAGTAATAGTCCACTGAGAAAAGTTCTATACTATTGTGGAAGACATGCGAAAAAGACCTAACGTCACCGGAAGAGCCCCACCGCTTTCTTCTTCTTGGGCCGCAGAGTCGATCGGTTTGCAGATGCAGCAGCAGGTATGAGTGGAACAGTCTATTTGAAACATAAAAAAATGGCTACGGTTACTTGTCAAAATAATTAGTACTAAAATAACTGGTACTGCAATGGCGATAAAAGACTGGATAACTTTTACTCAGTTTAAAGGTCATCATGTATAACTCAGTGTTAACATTTCCAAAAAAAAGGTCCTATTGGCATATATAAAACCAAAGGGGTGCATGATGGCAGATTTCTGCTCCAAACAGGTCATCAGCTCATTTCTTATTTTTATTTTGGCTGTGTTATGTAATTACATGACATAATAGAAGTCAAGTGCATTCATGCCGTTTTTGAATGCTGCTCCCAAACCTGTACCAAATATGTATATAGCACTTCATTTGATTCATGTAATTTAAATAGGCACTTGATCATTAAAGAGCAAATAATATTATTTATACTGTGACTTTGCAAACAGAAACCACTGGAAATGCGCTAATGTGTTTCATGCGTTAATTTAGCCCACATAATAGAAGTCAGTTCCATTGAACAGATTTTTTTAATGAAAAATCTTTTAACGCTTTAAAAAGTCTGTTTATGCAAACTGTCAGTAATATTTTATAAAAGCAGACAAAACTTTTTTTGGTCAACTTCAGCAGATCAATTTTTGGTAATACTTGAAATATGAAAACTTGCACTGGAAATATTTTTTTCTGGAAAAAACACATTAATGCATAGGTAAAATTTCATTTCAAGTCACAGATTTCCCTAAGGGCCTTCTCAAAGCATACACAAAGAACATGGAAGAGAGGTACAGCTGAACTGAGGAGGAGATGAGAGCGTTTTTAAAAGAAACGCTACCACTTTTCAGCTTTTACAGAGAGAGATGTCCAGAAAAGGTTACAGCCTTTCTAACTTTAAAGTGCTCAAACAGCTTTTTATGGCAGAGAAATGTGATCTATTGCATAACGGTTCTGATGAAAAACATTACAATGAAAAAAAATAAATAAACAAAATTCCCTTATCAGTAGGTTGTCGGGAGGTCAGGGAAGCCAAAGGCACAAAAGTTGACATACACATGAAATCAAAGATGGAAACATGTCAAACACAACTTTTTTTTTTAATGGCTAACCAAAACTAATGTGTTTTTTGCAGGATACTATCATTATGTAAAGCAATTTTTGCTGAAAGTCAGACCAATGTAGGTAGGCTACTGGGCAACAAAAATCACAAACGTTTTTACTTATTTTCATTTTGCTTCCAAACTGCACAGAAAATTAATGGAAATGGAGCTAGTGTGAGCTTCAGAACAAAAGAAAAGAAAAATCAGCCATCAACCAATTTGGCTATAAAGATACCCAATTAATGAATGAATGAATGAATGAATGAATGAAATTGATGCTTAGGCAGAAATGAAAAACATCAAACCTGTTCACTGTCAGCCTCCTGGGTTTCTCCTAATGGCTGCTGGACATCATTTTGATTAGACCCAGGCCCAGATATAGGCCTCAAATCTAGAGAGAGATACAAGCAACAAAAATGGTAAGGCAGCATGGCCGGATTGTTGGTGAAGAAACAGATGATGAAAGTAAACATATGATGAATAAAGCAACCTGTAAGCAGACTGCTCTGGTCCTGGTCAGTCGTGTTATGTTCAGGAACAAAGCTGAAGCTGTCTGCTGAAGCAGAGTCATGCTCAGCAGAGCGTTTACGTTTCTCGCTGTTTCTCGCAGTGCTCACAGCCACATACATCTCCTGCAACCCAGAGTTAAACTCCAGACAGTCCTGCAGCATGCCCATCTGAGGAAGAATCTAATAAAGAGCAAAAAGAAGACATGTGAGAAATTGTCTAGGTATTTTACAGTTTCATTATATAACATAATGAAATATATATTAAAAAAAAAAATCCTAGTAGTGGCCTTGTGGGGGTGGGGGTGGGTGGTGCACTGTATCCAAGTGCCACAAAAAGAAAATTATTCAGGAGGAAACCAACAGCAGAGCCATATTTAAATATTTACATCTACTCATTTAGGAATCTATCATACCATAGCATACAGCGCATCCCCATATTGCAGCCAATACAAAGTGATGCATTCAAACCCTACCATGTTAATGAAGTCTTGTATATTGAGCACATGCAGGTCATTCACTGTCGCCTGCTGTTACAGATGCATGTACAACACGTAGTGGCTTTAGTAGAGCATTGTCCCACTAAATGACTCACTGACGCTGGGCCTAACACTAAAAACATTCGTACTAATATACGTATGTGTAGTCACTCACACAAACAGTCAGATAAATGCATACACACACAGAGATAAATGCACACCCATGTCTACTCAAACACACACTCTTTCACAACAGAGAGGACAAGCTCTCCAAATTAGCTCTCCAAATATTGACCTGGTGAAATTGGTGGTCGCACTCTGCTATCCGAGTGAGGGGCTCCTAAAAATACATGTAGGCTTTGGGGTTTACATATATTTATTTTTATTATTTGTTTGTTTAAATACTGTAAAAATAAATGTATGCTCTGGCTGCTTTGAGTTCCTCTTTGGGCACAGAGCAAGCAATGTGAAGGAAAAAAAGCCACACTGAACCAGGACACTCTTCCTTTCTCTCTTCTCCCCTCTGTTTTTTCCTCATCCCTTCATTTTTCTCTGGCTTCTAAATACTCCACAACTGTACATTGGAATCCCTTGTCATTACAAATGAAGGCTGTTGTTTCATTCAATAATGAATACAGTGTACATAATAAGCTAGACACCAGCATGCATTTTAAGAAGTTGTTTTTGGGGACACCAATAAGTTATTAAATGACAAGTAAAATACTGTAATGGTCTAATATCTTTACAACCTTATTTGCCTTACCATATTTCAAATACAAGGCATTCTGGTTGCTAATTTTATCATAACTTCATTCTCAATGTTATACAGTTTTCTCAATCATTATAGAATCATCTACAGTTCAGTTTATCATTCTGGACATTTCTTCCTATTTTACAGTTTCCTATGAATTAACAAGAAACCAATAACCATGTAAAGTAGTTGGCTCTTAATTTAATCTTTTTACATGCACCTTCAACAAATTAGTTTCGTAATATTAAAAAAGAAAAGATTTCGGACTTTTGAACGGTAGTGTATATCGCTACAAAAAACATGCAACTTCAAAAGGGTTATTTTATAGGAGAAGGAAAATAATATACATTACCATACATTAATGTAACAAGACTTTATTCAAAGCAATTTTCTTCACCATTTCTATCAATCCATTCATCATGAAATGTTCACATAATGTAAAACTGGTATTTTTAGTGTGAAAAAATACAGCACTTTTAATTCTGTTGTAATTTATGTCAAAGACAATATTTTTACTGACCCTAAATCAGGGAAAAACTTTACTTACACCCTGCTACATAACATACTACTGCTATTTACATAACTATGCCATAGATGTGTTATGGCAGATATTATATGCGGTCACGTGCTGTCAAGATAATGTCCAGTAATATAACCGTGTCATGTTACTATTACCATTGACTGTCCTCACGTGATTTGTTTCATGTTAAGCATACTTAGCAAAAATCAGCATATGACATGGGTCATAAGCCAGCATGAAATCAAGCATTATGGCATCTCTCATAATCATTACTGGTGATGGTCGTGAGAGACCATCACCTGCTACATAACATGTTATGTCAATGTTATGTAGCAGGGTTCAAGTAAAGTGTTACCAAACGTAGTTATATTAATAGCCAGGATAATACTAGCAGA